CTTTCAGTAGTCCTCTAACAGCCAAAGTTCACTAAATATTTAGTTTAATCTTCATATTTTCTCAGCAGAAATGTAGTCTTGAGATAACTGAAGTATTAATTTTAGTAGCTAGGTTCATGATTGAAAGTGAAAAAGACAATGAACCAAAAAGAAGTGATGGCCTACGTTTTAAAAAAAAAAAGTTTAAATTCTGTTCACCTTTTCTTAAGTTTTATATCCTTAAGCCCACTCTTGGCTCACTATGATTTGTCTTAGTAAAACATGTAGTTATGCACTAAAACTGCATAGACTATAGGGCACTGTAGTTTCCAGACAAAGCAGTTAAATTGGCAAAGCAAGAATTTTTAAAAGAAATACTTATAAAGATACTGAGATCAGTCTTTACATTTGAAATGATTTAGGTGCCATAAAATTGACTCAGTTATAGTTCACACGTTGACTTCAAGAAGCCTCGGTAGATTTACACGAATATTAGGAGATTCCTCCCAGTAAGCTATGAGAACACGCCCAGAGTTTCCTCCAAAATAGAAACAGAAGCAGTCATCGCTGATAATTTTATTCTAAATCAAGCACACAACTGACGCTTATATTTTAATCTCTTTTGATTTAGGAGGGTCAAGGTCATACTACTTCGGGAAAGGTAGAAGGCGGGCTTTGGACTCACATACTTAAGTCCTTGCTTTTATATCCTATACTATTAAATGACCAGGCTAACCATAAGAGGAACTGACAGGATTGCTGGAGACTGAGGTCAGTCAAAAGGATGACAGGGCTCCCTGATTCTGAGCTGAGGTGGAGGAGGGAAGCAATACTGGCGATCCCCAGCCGGGCAGCCATCTTGTGGGAAGAGGAAAGCCGGAAGTGCTGCAACTGGGGACTGGCGTCGCCCCGGCTCCCGCCAGCCTAGACAAGGCCTGAGGGCCGGGAAGGGGCTAAGTGGGAGGGCCTCGGGGACGGGGGCGGGGGCGGGGCGGAGCGGCGTCTCTAGGGCTTGGGGGCGGGGCCTGACAGCTGGGTGGAGGCCGACAGCTCGGATCTCCAGCCCAGGGGCGGGGCTCCAGGGCGGGACGGAGTGGGTCCCTGCAGCCTGGGGGCGGGGCCTGGCGGCGGGGTGGAGATCTGCACCGCGGAGCTCCAGGCTGGAGGCGGGGCCTGGGGCGGGGCGGAGCTGTGTCGCGAGCCTGGGGGCGGGGTCTCGCGGCAGGGTGGAGACCCGCATCTCCGACCTCCAGGCCAGGGGCGGGGCCTGAGGGCGGGGCGGGGGCGGGGAGGAGGCACCGGGCCGCAGACGCCCTAGGTAGCTGACAGGGCCGCAGCGGCTCACCCCTCCCTTCCTCGAAACGTGGTTGGGCAGCTGCCGCTGGTCGACGCCGCTGGGAGAAGAGGGCTGGGGGCGGGAGATGACGGCTGTGTGCTCGCTGCTTTGCCCTCTGCGAAAACCGGAGTGCTTCTCCTCGCAGCCCGGGTTGCAGACCTAGCAGGTGAGATGAGCGCCGGTAGCGTGGACCTGCCGGGTCTAGCTCCTGCCCCTGCCCCTGCCCCTGAGGGCAGCGCCAGACTCGGGTGTCCCCGATCTCGACCCGTTGCTGCTGCTGTCCTCCTCTGCCTCGCAGCGCCCATGCCTGAAACCTGCGGGAACTCTCGGGATGGTCTGCGCAGAAGGGACTTGTCCCTTCTGGTAGCAGAGCTGCGTCCCCCAGGATGCAGAGCGCCCCGTTGCACGTGTGCCAACCCTGTCATCTCGGACTTTTCACTTTATCTCAAGGTGGCCTCAGTATCTGCGCCTCCTGAGCGCCTCTGCCCAGGTACCTGGTGCTTTGCGCCAAAATTTCTCCCCTTTTTACGGAGCACCTGACGTGACTCCCAAACCCTGGCTTTCCATTTCCACGGATGTCAGCAGCCCTCGGGGCCATCTCTTGGGTTAGGAACTCTGCACTCCTTATCTTGGCGGGCCAAAGTCTCCCTTGCAGACAGACAAGGTAAAAAGGCAGTGAACAGAAGCCTGTTGATGTGTAAGAGTTCTTTTCTAGTGCTAACCAGCATTAGTTTTTCTCATGGAGAAAGGATATTGGGTGTTTGAGAGAAGAACAGCCTAGGAGTGTAAAGCTTTCTCTTTCAAGTTAACACTGAACCACATTTTAACTTAATAGCAATTAACCTACTATTTCAATGCTTTGGTGATGTTATCTAAGTCAAATATAGAGTGATTAGACCGTTTGTATATCATTTTCTAGTGTCTGCCCCATTGAACTGCCTTGTACAGTGGCAGGTCAACTTGTTTGTTCTGTAACAAGCCTTGTTTTTGTAGATTAAAGGACTGGCTGTCATTTTGTTTTAAATTTCCTTTGTTGTGGTTCTTGTTCATCTTAAAATGTGCTTTGGAGGCAGTTTTTTTTTTTAATGTTTACAATAGTATGAGATAAAACTTGAGATTTGTTTTTAATCTTTCCCTTACCTATTTTGAAACAATCGCTTAAGTAAGTCGCAACTGGCTTTCCTATGTAGCAGAGGCTGGGCTTGAGCTCATTGTCTGCCTGCCTCTGCCTCCCTAGTGCTGGGATTAGAGGTGTTTGACATCATGTCAGGCTAGAACTTGTTTTAATTTTCATCTGCCTCAGAAACTGTTGCTTTTATGAGACTGGAAAAATTAATGGGGGGAAGGGGCAGATTACTTTTTAAATTATTTTTTTAATTTTGAATTAGTTGAAAGTTGAACCTAAGTGTTGCTTTACCTATTGGCCATCACATTGATGAAGAGGTCTTTGTTCACTGTCAGACAAACTAAATTCAGTTCTTCTCAATTGGTGGGTCAAAAACATAGATTGATAACACATCCTGAACTGGTAACTTTATGGACTATCTAGTAGTTCTATTATTGAGGATCTTTAATGATAAGTGTGTTTCTGTAATGGTAAGTATGTTTGTTTGTAGAGCTACATAGGAGAACAAATGTCCTTTACTTTGCTACCATTCTAATCATCACCATTAGGTTTAGAGTCTCTGCCCCTTTTTCTCACCTTTTTGGTTTCTTCTTTGATTATTAGGTTTTTTGGTTTTTTTGAGGCAGGGACTCAGTGTGCAGCCCCCCAGCTGGCTTTGGGCTTGTGATCCTTTTGCCTCTGTCTTCCAGTTCTGGGTTTCCAGCATGGGGGACCACACTTGGCACTAGAACTATTGCTACCATTTCTTGAAGGCCTATTCTGTGGTAAGCTGTGCATTAAATATCCTTTCTCTACAGTATCTCTCTAAGGTTTCCCTGCTCATTTTACAGTTAAGGAAAGTGACTGAGAGAGGCAAAGTAATTGGCCCAAAGAGTTGGTAAAGGTTAAGGTTCAAAGTCTGTTACTCTTTTCACTTAACTATTGTTAATTAGGATTGTTGTTTTAAAAAATATAAAGCTACACTGTTGTCTTATGTGGTCCAAATAGGGGGTTGTGAGTTATCCAAATAAAGAAATATAGGGAAATTTGGAACAGCATCAAAGTCTGGGCTAGTTTCTCTCCTTTCTAAGGGCACATTTCTTAAGGGCTCCAGTGTTTAACACTCAAGTTTAATTGTTAATCAGATCCTTCAAGGATGGCCATGTGTACCAATGAGAATCTGTCTATGTGTCCCAACCAGATCCTGTCTATGTGTACCAACAGATCCGACCTGGCTATGTGTACCAACCAGAATCTATCTATGTGTACCAACCAGAATCTATCTATGTGTACCAACCAGAATCTATCTATGTGTACCAACCAGAATCTAGCTATGTGTACTAACCAGAACCTGGCTATGCATATTAAACAGAACCTCTCAGTGTACCAAGCAGTATAATTTGGTGTTTATTTGTTAAAACTCAAATATGTGAACATTATAGGATTGGTTTCAATGACCACTCCTGTTTAATCCTGGTTAAAACAAAACAAAACAAACAAACAAAAAAAAAAAAACCACTTGTCTTAATCCCAATTACATATAAGGCTTTTAAGGATTTGGCTTATAGAGAACAGCACCAGGAATATTCTCTTACACAACCTGTGTATCATTTGATGATCTTTGGCCTGTCACACGAGTCTTTCCAATGTGATATGGGTGTTCTAGAATTTAACCAAATTCCTGTAAATTGCAGGGAACACCAGATTTTCCCCCTGTCTTATGTAATGCCACTTTAGATGGTAAAACTAGAATAATCACTTAGAAATTGACAATTACTATCATACTAATTCCAAATTACTATTCAAAACTGATTTGTCTCAGAATTTGTGCTCAATGCATCTCTGGCAGCAAGAGGAGGGGAGTCTATCAGTTGCTACATTAGCACACTGAACCTATTCCATCTTTATAACGTTCTTGGATACAGTTTGTGTTTTTGGAGATGTTACTACTGTGAAAAACGTTCATCATTTAGAAAGAGAGACCATCCACCCATTAAGTGGATAATACCTAAAAGACAATGAGAGAAGAGGTAGATTTAAGAAAAGCTTGTTATTTAATAACTTTGTTGAAAATCTTTACTAATCAAGTGGTTTTTCCCAATGCTTCCTGTGTGCCAGGCATTGTGCTAGCTATTAGGAACACAGGAATGTGTAAAGACATGTGTGGTCTTTGCCTCTATGGCATTTAAACTCTGGTAAAGGAGACAGGCATAAGGCAATCATTTCAAGGCATTGGGATAAACAAACAGAGAAAAGCAAACGACGGAAGGGAAGGGTCATGATTTTATTTGAGAAAGAATCATGCCTAACTATGTGATTAAAGAAACCTCACCTGATGAAGTGATTCCAGAACCATATGGTTGAGTCTGGAGAATGAGTAGGTGCTAATTATGTGGGCAGTGCAAATGGCAGAGAAATTTTTAGAGTGAACTGCACGTGTGGAGTCCCCTGTGGCACTAAGGGATTGTTGGCCAGTATGTGCGCTTACATAAAAGGAACTAAGAGGAGGCTGGTGGGATGACATTTTCTTTTTTAAACCACTTTTTTCTTTCACAGGTTTGCTCGTCGTACTCTACAGAAAGGTATATCCAGCGCTGGTTAAGTGATTATTGTGTGCTGGATGTGGTTAGAGGATAAGCACTCTGCTGATATTGTCACTTCACAGATGAGAAAGCGAAGCATAAAAAGTTAAGCTTTGGGTTCAAGTTGGTAAGTGGTGCCTTGCTATGATTCTCCCTTATGCTCAAGCACGACTCCTCAGTCTATCCCTGAGAACCTAGGAAGTTTCTAGAAAATCTGGGTGCCGCTGGGTTCTTTGCAGCAGGTGGGTTCTTTGCAGACACTGGGCCTCCTCCTCTTGGCCACTAGATAGAGGTGGATTATGGTTGCCTGGAGAGGGTCACAGGGCACCACTGCAGCTGCCACGTTTGTGGATCTTATTTTAGTCATGTCTGACACGTAATAGGACGGTAACATAAATATTTTGAGCTGACCTACGTTTGAGAGTGAAGCACCTCACCCTCGTCTTTTCCATTGTGTTTCTCCCTGGTGGACATTGAATAGAGTATGAATATTTATTTGGTCATTTAAAATGTAAATAAGTCCAGGTTTGCAACATTCCATTTCAGTCTGTATTCTGGTCAGTTGTAACGCTGAATTTTCTTTTCTATTCTTTCTTTTTTTATTTTTTTTTTTTTTTCAGAGACCTGGTGGAAGGAGAGAGAAAATGGATTCTCATTTTTCAGCAGAGAACTCAACTCTGGCCATTAATATGAATGAGACTTTAACTCATGGATTTAATTTCACCAATGACCCACCTTCAATGTCCATAACAAGGCTTTTCCCAGCCTTGCTAGAATGCTTTGGCATAGTCCTTTGTGGCTACATAGCGGGAAGGGCCAATGTCATAACATCAACACAGGCCAAAGGACTGGGAAATTTCGTCTCCAGATTTGCCCTTCCAGCTTTATTATTCAAAAACATGGTTGTACTTAATTTCTCTAATGTGGATTGGGCTTTCCTATATAGTATCTTAATTGGCAAAGCCTCTGTGTTTTTCATTGTATGTGTTTTAACCTTATTGGTTGCCAGTCCTGAGAGTCGATTTAGCAAAGCTGGACTATTCCCTATTTTTGCTACACAAAGCAATGACTTTGCATTGGGATATCCTATAGGTAAGTTATTTTTATTCTTCAATTTAAAAAAAAAAGCTCAAGCATTTTATGTGGTAACAGAAGTTTTCGATATATCTAAGCTTTTGTTAGTGACATATTCTTATTCTTATCCCTAGGGAATCATTAATTGTTTAATTGAAATTTTTTTTGATTATAGTTTTCCCCTGCCCCGACTCCTCCCAGACTCTCCCCACCAACACATACATTTTTTTTTCCTTAAAGCTGTCTGAAATTAGAATATTTTTCTTTAATTTCAGAGTTTTAAGGTTCACTTAATTATCTACCTAAAATAAATGGTCAAATTCTAATGCCTTAGGGGATAATTTTTCTAATAGTACTCTTATTTCCTCTCAATTATCTCATGTAAAGAAATCTAATTTCTAGAAGGGATCACATTCTGAGTTAAATTATATTTTTAAAAAAATCTTATGTCCCTGTGAAAATAGTGGGAATTTATGGCATTGATGACATTTCCACACCGTCCTTGTTCTTAGGCTCTAGAATATGTAGATTATCTTACACTAAAATTTGTTTGTGAGCTTGTTAGTTTTCAGCGTCATTACGTTGAAGCTAAATTCTTGTTTAAGGACAAACGTGGTGAGGACGCTACTGTGTCTGTAGTTCTGTACATAGCCCAATATTACATTTTCTGGTAAAATGATAAGCACACTAATTTGGGATGCTGTAGTTTCTTGAGAGGAAGTATATTTTGCTTTTCAGAATATACCACCATTCCTAGAAATTAATTTTTAATATTTAAAAATACAAGTTAAGTGTATTTAACCATGTACCATGGTATAGGGACTAGTGAGTCTTAAGGGAGGGTGCTATATTCCGGTGCTAGGAAGAGACCTGTGAACAAAGTTCTCACTCATACTGAGTTGATATTTAATGAAGAAATAAAGTATGATTGAAACTAAGATCATATCAAATGTTGGCAGGGGCCAGAAGACTAAGTAAGGGCCGGGGTACTGTGTCAGAGTGATGGGTTAAGGCTTCTCCGATGATATATCTTTAGAGCAGAGATTCAGTGGACTAGTAAATTGTACAATTGAAACCTACCATGAACTCTCAGGCCTCGGTCATTTTATCCCATCCTCCCCCAAGCCATTCTACCACTGGCACCAAAAAGATTGTAGTGAACTATATTGTTCAACTTTCCTCATTTTAGCTATGGAAAAATACCAAAGAAATCGAATAACATGGAGTAAAGCAAGAGACTGAAGAGGGGGTAGAACAGGGCTCTTAGGTAACTGGTCTTTAAATAGAAACTCTATAGGTATTCCTTCAGAGTTACTCCACTTTAAGTTGAAATTACACAGCAGAAGTTAATGTTTGTCCCTGTCCTTAAGATAACTAGGAATGTAGTCTGGCCAAGGATTTGTAGGATAAAGACTCCAGAAGCAACATGTTGCCATAGTGTTAAGTATTTAATAAATATTGTTCTTACTTTAGACATGGGCTAGGCATATATAATTTCATACTTTTATAGACTAGTGAGCTCATAAAGAGAACTAACATTTGTAACTTTATAGTTTACAGGAGACTTTATTACTTGAATAGAGCAGATATTATCACTTTCAAATAAGGAGACAGGGTTACAGGATTGTTTTAACCTAGGTCACACAGCTAACATGTGCCTGAGACCCAACTCTAGGCTTTCTGGTTCTAAATCCCTGGCACTCTCTTATGCCACATGGTTACATAACAGGCTAAGTCTATCTTAGAAGACCTGACCAACCTTTGTGACTTAGTAGTTTCAGAACAGAATCAGATATTCTTGTCTTTAAAATATGTTTAGGGATGGGGGAGGGCTAGAGGGGTAGCTTAGTAAGAGTCTGTGCTGTAAAAGCCAGAGGACCTGAGTTCAAACCCCCAGCATCCACTCAAAGACAAGGCACGAGGGCTTTAGCTTCCTGAGCTTTGTGAAAGGTCTTCTACTCTGTGTGCTTGCTTTATGTGTTTCCTCACCCTTAATAAAAGCTGTTCTTTACCAGCTTGAAGAAAAAAGTCAGACAGTCCTTTCCTTCCTATAACCCCGGTGCTGGGAGGTAGGGACAGGTGGACCGGGAACTCACTGGCCAGTCAGCCTACCTTAAATGAGCTTCAGGTTTAGTGAGAGACCTGTGTCTAGAATACCGTGGAGAGATGGAGAAAGACTCCTGACCTCCTCCTCTGGTCTCTGGGTGCACACACAGATGCATGAACGTGCAAAGGGGAGAGAAGAGAAGACGTAGAAAAGAGCTATTGGATGAATTACTTTTCCTGTTAAGACACTTTAAGACATATATATGTACCAAGCCATTTCATCACTGTTTTTCTTACATTCTTCTTTACATTCCATGTTAATGTAAATGTGACAATAATAAAGTTCCTAGTGGTATAGTAACCTGAATTTCCTTGATGAATGTGTTGTGCAATTTGGGGTTAATTTTTGTTGTTTGTTTTAATCACAGATAATAACTCTTGTAACACCAGGCTGTAGACTATAACTTTATTAAAAACAAGTCATGTACACAGCTTTCTAATCTACTTGTAAAATGGAAGATGGGTACAGAACATTATATCATCTGTCTGCTCCCTTGTGGGGTATTTGTTAATGCAGTCTGTCTCCATCTGTCTTATGCTCTTGTACATGGTGAACAGAGAAGACAGTCACCAGGGAGAAACTTTCTTTTCTTGTTTTTTTTTTTTTTAATTTTCATACACACACATACACACACACACATAACACACACACACACACACACACACACACACACACACACACACATATATATATATATATATTATTTTACATATAGATTCCAGTTCCCTCTCCCTTCCTCCCATGCCCCCGAGACCTTTCTTTTGGTGTGTTTCACAACTTCTCCTAGGAATTCCCACTGTCATGTTCAAATAGAAGTATTGATAATAAATTAGAAGAAACAACCTTCTTAGGGATGCATTTGCTCCTCATCTGTCCAATTTACAGGTGACTTTGGAAATACTGGCATGGGGAGAAGTTAGTGAGTAAAGAGAAAGATGGCTATGTATCTTTTCTATATACTATGACTGAAGTATATAAAAAATAAATAATGCTATATTGCTATGAAGTTTTTTATATTAAAGTCAAGTGAATACAGACTGAAAAGTGTTGCTATCTTTTAGGACAATTCTTTTCAAAGGTGCTTTTTAAAATGCAGGTGTGAGAAGAAAGCAAGAATCTACCAAGGTGAAATGCCAGTTTCAGCAGATCAGAATGGCTCCCTGCCTCTGTCATTAAAAGATACTAATAGGGCATAGTTAAGTCCTATAATTTATTCTTCAAACAATGCTGATAGCATAAGTACCCTGACTAATCATAATTAGGCTCTAGTGCTTGAGCTGTAAACACAATGGAGATGAAGCCATTTAACTATATGCCATTAAATAATGGAATGGTCTTGTCAGGGTCTGTGTGTTATTTGCTAGAGATTGAAACCCTGCAGGAGTCCAAATAGGAGTCACAGTGGGTGGCTAATTTTATCTTAGTTCTTACAAGCTATGTACTAACTCCTCATAATGGGATTCCCCCTCCCTCTAAGAGCCTTATTTATAATCGTTAATTAATTAGGACTTAATAGTTGATATAGTGATTATAAATCTAATTTTAGTTGCTATAGGTCACTGTATTCATGTGTATTTTTCTTTCCAACTTGAAAGATTGTCGTCAGATTGCTAACTGCCAGTTTATAAAGATTATAAAGATGGGATGTTAAGTAATTATGGAAATGAGTGGCAAAAGAGACTAAAATTCCCATGTTGAACCCCTTTCTCAGTAATTTAATAAGTATTTATTTAATCACGATTATTTGCTCCTCCACTAGACATTGCTCCTTTTACCCTTATGCACTTGTTCAGCTGAGCTAAAACACTATAATTGTAACCTGCTTTATAAACATTCACATTGTATAAAAAGGAAAAAAACATGAAATTTCATTTAGATAGGAGGAATAAATTCAAGAGGGCTATTGTACAACATAGTGAATACGGTTAATAACAGTGTAAGTATGCATATCATTAAAAATTATATAAGAAAATATGTATGCTGGTGAGCTTAATTTAACCATCCTAAAACGTATATGTTTGATTTTTATTGGCCAATTTAAAATACCTTGGTAATCCTGTTACTCAGGAGGCTCATGTAAGAGGGCTGCTGGGAGTTCAAAGCCAGCCTAAGCTACAATGTGAGATTCTGTATCAAAAACCAAACTAAGGAGCTAGGGTGACAGCAGGATTGGTGACGTGCTTGCTTTGTAAGCATGAGCCCCATGTGAACTTAAAATCCCAGTGCTGAGGAGGTAGAGACGAAGATCCCTGGAGCCGGCTGGTTAGCCAGTCTAGCTGAAACAGTGAGCTTTGGTTCAGTGAGAGACTGTTTCAAAGAGTAAGGTGGAGAGTGATTGAGAAAGACATTCAACATTACTTCCACATGCATATGCACACACACATGTGAATGTGTACACACATGCATCAAAGAAGGCTAATTAAGATGATAATTTTAAAAATAAAATATGTATCCAAAAAGAGCCAGATTAACTAATTACAGATATAAATCATTATATGATACAAAGTACATTTTTACTGTACCTGACACCCTTAGCATCTGTTGATGTATCAGTTAATTCTGTTCATCAGATCTGTTCAGTACTGTGTTGGGTGGGGTCTCTGGGTTATGGAATGATGCCTCTAGGGGACTCAGAGTTTCTTGAGGTGGCATTGATTCAAAACAAAATATCACAGTATTACAGAGAAGGTGAGATTTAATGATGGGGTTTGAAGACTTGGTAGAATGAGTGCAAGAGACTGGTCCTAAATATTAAGCAAGTTTCAGAAAGAAACAAATTCAAGAAGTTAGATAGAGAAGGCATGCTCAGCAAGTGGAGCTTGTGTTTACGAACACACTGTTTACTGTACCTGTGTTAGGGATCTGGCAGATGGAGTCTTTGCTTTATGGAGTAGTAAAAGATGTGTTTGGATAAATAGGACAATTATAGGGACTGGCTGTGCTCATTAAAAGAAAGCCACATGAGCTGTGCCAGTGAGTGGCCAGTGAGTGGCAGAAATGATAGAAAAATATTAATTTTTGAAAGTTTTGACTTTGCATAGTTGTGATTTAGATAGTACTCTTCGGGGTTAATAATATGATGAAAGGCATGGTTGGGATAACACAAAAGAACATGGGTTAGTGAAAACGCCTAATAACCTAATTTTCAGACTTTTAACTAATAGGAGTAAGAATCAAGAGGAGGAAATAAAAAAGACCCTATTAAGGAAGGACAGTAGTCTCCCACATGTGACAGGAGTGTGCGTCACAATTCCTCTTCAGACACCTACATATACTAGGCCATAAACTCCCAGCAGAAGTTCTTATCCCAGTATCCTGAGTGATGAGATTCTCAATTATGCATATATATCATATATAATAAATTTGTCATCCATATCTACCTATGATCAGGGTCAACGTATAAATTTGGTACACAAAAGTTTGACAATTTCTGGTAAGAAAGATTAGTAATACACTGTAAAAAATGGTGTGGATTGTGGTCTCTGTCCTTTTCTCTCAAGCTGTCTCACTGCAACTTGGCTTACTGTTCTTGTTGTCAATGGATAACTGGGCATTTAGGAAGTCAAAGAAGGGATGGGCTGCTGCTGTGTTTGATGACTGCCTAGCAAAAGCAATGGAAAACTGTTGCTCAGACTTGCATTGAATTCTTGACAGAGAGGAAGGAGACAGAGAGAGAGAGAGAGAGAGAGAGAGAGAGAGAGAGAGAGAGAGAGTTCATTATGTGGTAGTGACCAGTGATATGCCAGGAATGGAAATTTCTCTACACAAGTGATCAATCAATAGAAGAGGCTTTGAGTGTGGAGTTGGAGATGAAGGTTGCCAAGAAAACACTGCTGCATTGCACTGCAGCCACTTAGGAAAATTCTCAAAACCAGACTGAAAATGCAAGACATTCCCCAAATACACACTCCATTTACGAAACTGAAGTGATGGGCAGTTATGGACACCTTTTTCCTAGAGGTAGAATACTTAAGAAGTGTAGCTACCTAAGAATAGTTATCAAGATGGGGCTTTTTACTTAAAAAGGCACCAGGGAACATGGAAAGCAGCCACCGAGTCATAAAGTCAGCACGTCTGACTTAGAAATCAGTGTGAGGAGAACCGATGAAGTTTTATGCAGTCAGATGCATTTAACCTCTGCTCTATTTTGAAGGTAACACAGACCTATGTATGTGCTTAACTGGGAGAAAAGTGATTTGAAGCTTACAAGAAGTAAGAGTAGCTAATGAGATCAAGGTGTTCTGAGGTTATATAATCTATTACATAACTTTAACGGGACATGTGTCTGACATTAACTGAACTTAACGAATCCCAAGAAGGTAAACAAATATATTTTCCTACTTGTGTTACTTTATCTTAGTGTAAATTAAGAAACTCAATCTACACTACTTTCACATGGTTGCCTCTCTCCTTGGAATGGTTGTGGCAGTTTGTTTTATTTCTCCACTTCACATCCATTATGAATGAGCTTTTGTGTACTTCCAGCTGGATAGGTTCAAGTTCTACGTCCAAAACAAGCCTGAAGACCAAACGGCTTTAAGTTGCCTTGTTCCACCCCAGGCCAGTCCCTCAGTCTTCACCTTCTAGAATTGCTAGGCGTGTGATCCCACCCTCTTACCCCCCATCCAAGAAAAGGTCTTCTGTAGCAGTTAAGTTCTCAAGTAATCATGTCTTCTCAAACTCTCCAAAGGCCTCCCACAAAATATAGCATGTGAGCTCTGTAAGATGCCATTCCTTGTTAATCTTGCGACCAGTTTTTGTTGTTTTGTTTTGTTTTTGTTTTTTATTTTATCCAGCCTCACTCTTCAGTAGGTAACAGGCTCTTTGGGGACACGCTGAGAAAAAGTGATGCTTTGTTTTTTTAAGAATGTGTAGTTACTAGCCAGGCATTGGTGGTGCATGCCTTTAATCCCAGCACTCGGGAGGCAGAGGCAGATGGATCTCTGTGAGTTCAAGTCCAGCCTAGTCTACAGAGTGAGTTCCAGGACAGCTTGAACTACACTGAGAAACGCTGTCTCAAAAAAAAAAAAAAAAAAAAAAAAAAAAAAAAAACAGACAAAATAAATTCCTAGTTACATTTGCCAGAGTTAAATACACTGTATAACTAATTCCATGCTATCCCCCTCCCAAACGCTGTCCAGGTTCAGCCTTCTGTCCTTCCTTTAGCGTCTTCTCTGATCTTGCCTGGAAGCATTCATTGCTTTCATTTCCTCATAGCCTGTGCGGCCAGTAAGCAAGGATAGGTATGACTGGAGCTCTCTTCCTCTTCATTACCTGGTGCTATCTATCACTAGGACTTTACTGGCTGCTTTCTTGATGACAGCTGTTAAAGCTGATGTCATCTGGCTCAATCACTCCTCTCCATTCTAGTCTTTTTCTCCCATCTACTGCAGATGTTAATGTCTGACTCTCTTTTTCATTATGAAGTTCTGCCTTTTTCACTTGACGTTAGCATCTTCCTCAGTTACCCACTGAATTCTCTGCTTCTCTCAGTTCCGTGGTCTCCTCATCTCCAGTGAAGCCTTTCCCACCTGTCAGCTGCCAACTCACATGGCCACATCCTAGACCACATCTGGAAAATAGAAGCCTGATCGCTCACAATCTGACTAAAAGCTTCTGAACTTCCAACTGTACCTAATTCACACATGCCTCGGGTCCCTGACCTACTTCCCGTCAGCTGTCTCATGTCTACATCTTTCCCTGTGGAGTGTGAACTCCATCTCAGCGGTGCTGTTGAGTTCCTGACCATACTCTCCTCCATCTGCTGTCATCTGACTCCTGCCTTACCACACCAATGCAGATGCTCACTCCATAAGTTCAAGCAGATATCTTGTTGCTATCATGTCTTGTGCAGATTTATACTTTGAATTGCTCTTTTAAAATTTTTACAGCTCTGCCCTTAGAGATTTATTTTTAAGCCTTGTATTGGAAAATCGTTAGTTTTTTTATATATATAAAAAGACTTACAGTTGATTGTTGTTATTTTATAAACTGGATGGTATTTAATATAGTAAGTTTTTCTTCTTTGTCAGTTTTATTACTGAAATTAGCCTTTCTAAAAATAAGTGAATGGGGCTATTCATCACTAGGATACTTTTCAATGATATAAATAGCACAAAAATGTTATATTCATATTTGTATAATTTTGTGGTAATATTTTAAAACCAGTATTCTTGTTTTACAGTTGAAGCTCTGTATCAAACTACATACCCAGAATATCTGCAGTATATTTATTTGGTGGCACCAATATCTCTTATGATGTTAAACCCTATAGGGTTTATCTTCTGTGAAATCCAGAAGTCTAAGGACACTCAAAATGCTTCCCAAAATAAAGTAAAGATTGTGGGACTCGGATTTCTACACGTATTACAGAACCCGATAGTATTCATGGTCTTTGTTGGCATCGCCTTCAATTTTATTCTTGATAAAAAGATCCCTGTGTATATGGAAAATTTTCTTGATGGACTTGCAAGTTCCTTCTCTGGGTCAGCCCTGTTTTATCTCGGTCTGACGATGGTAGGGAAAATAAAGCAACTGAAGAAGTCGGCATTCGTCATGCTCACTCTTCTCATCACGGCTAAACTGTAAGTTTCACTCATTTAATTTGGGAGCTGTAAGAGGAAGAAAAGCCTATTTAACCAATGCACTGGGTTGCATTGCACCAAGTTTTTTTCCTTTAAACATTAATTCTTATTTATATAGCTGCTGCAATTTAAAGGAAAATGGGCTATTTAGGTATCATAAAAAGTATTTCCTAACTAAGGCATGCAAGTTATTTTTTCTACTTTACTTATTAGAAGACAAAGATTATTGGTTTTCCTTCAGATTTTTTTTATTCAACTTTTGTATAAAGTTTGCCTAATATTTTCAGTGTCTCAATAAAATCATACTTAGTTAATCAACTTTTTATGATTCTGGGCATCAAACCCAGGGTCTTGGACATGCTAGGTAACTATTTTGCCACTCTGGGCTTTACCACATCCCTAGATCATGTTTTTAAAATAAATTTTGCAAAATTTCTATGTCCATTAAAAATCATAAATTATAAGTATGTTATTGTTTAAGAATAATAATTTTAATGTACACCATTTTTAAAAGAATTTTTTAAACTATTCCATGACATAAACATTTTTGGACATATTATCATTATTGAAACAACATTACAGTGGAAATACTTTTTATTAATAGTTCTTCAGCTTATTGGCTTGTCAGCCATGGAGGTGACATAATTTTACTGCAGTATTACCCAAAACACTTAGGGCATGCTTAAATGTGGAATTCAACTCTTATATAAGAGTTAAATCCATGGGACCAGGACAAAATAAATGAAATAAATAGTTCTGAAAAACGCTCTTCAGAATATATGAGTTAGTATTTCCACTGTAGTGTTGTTTTGATAGTGGTAATATAGTAATTTCAATGTTAATTAAAAATTTCAAGGTTTTTTATTCTTATTAGATATTTGATTCTTTTTCAAAATTAAAAAAAAAAAATGGGGCTGGAGAGGTGTCAGCACTGACTCTGAGATAATCAGGGTTTGATCCCCAGGACCCACATGGTAGTGGACAACCATCTGTAACTCCAATTCCAGGGAGCGGGAGCTCCAACTTCCTCTTCTGGCCTCTATGGGCACTGGAGGCATATGATGCACAGAAATACAAACAGGCCATACACCCATGCACATAAAATACATATATTCATCATACATACATACATACACATATACATACATTTATAAAAAGGAATTATAGTGCCTAACTGCATGAACTGTCTATTACAACAGATAACTAAGAGTAGTTCAGGACTAAGGAGGTGGTTCAGTATGTAAGGTGCTTGTTACACAAGCATGAGAACATGAGTTTGGTTCTATAGCAGGCATGTAAAAAGCCAGACACAGCAGCACATGCCTATAATTCCAGCAATGGGATGGAATTATATGGGAAGCCCTGAGGCTTCCTGGCCTGGACAAACTGTGGAACTGAAGGGTCAGTGAGTGATTGTGTCTCAAACAATAGGGGAGAGAGCAACTGAGGAAGACATCCAGTGCCAGCCTTTGGCCTCCACAGCACAGCTGCACATGTGTCCATTCATATCCTAGCCTACCTGTCTAGGTCCTGCTGCAACAGTGTATCGGCTTGTTCCACCTAGGCCTGGTGACTGTGCTCTGTTCTTTCCACAGAGATGCTGAGACTCTAATAATAGATTCCTCCCCAGACCTGGCTTCCCTTTGTGCCCTGCTCCACAGTTGTTCCCGCTGCTGTGCCTTTCTTTGTATTTACAAATACCAAGAACTAATTGTTAAGATGCCTACTTTTGGACTGTTTTCTAAAATTGAACCATTTAAACACTTGGTCACAGAGTTCAGCTTTATTTTTTTCCCCAAAAAGTTACTAAGATTTCCAACCTCTTTTTCATTTCACTTTTCAATTAACGATAGAAGAAGCAAGAAAGGAGCTGTAATTAAAATGCTTACTGTTTTTTTGTTTTGTTTTGCAAAAAAATATTTGTAAAAATCTGTTCTCCCCCTTTGTATTTCCTAATGTTTGAAATAGTCCAAGACATTGTTCTTGAAATGGCTCCTAGCTGAATTCCTGACTTTCAACAAAATGTCCAGCAGCAATAGAATATTTGCATGAAAATATAAATTCCCTTCTGGACAGGAGGAAAATAGTAACAAGATTTCAAATCTGCCAGTGCAATTACTAGCAGGGACAAACATTGATGCTAACTACCTTCTACATCCCTTCTTTCTCCAGCCTGGTGCTGCCCCTTCTGTGCAGAGAAATGGTAGAACTCTTGGACAAGGGTGACAGTGTAGTGAACCACACAAGTTTGTCGAATTATGCCTTTCTCTATGGCGTCTTCCCTGTAGCTCCAGGAGTGGCTATCTTTGCAACACAGTTCAACATGGAAGTAGAGATTGTAAGTATGCACTGTTTTTTTCTAAGTCTGGTGGTTTTTGTGGTGAAGAGAAAAATGAAGTTGTGAAATGCAGAAAGCAACATTCTTTTAATGAGAACTTGAGCTTTCTAAGCTTTTGCACTGTAAATAAGAAGATACTCTGTAACATTATATAACCATAGTTATGTAATATGGGAACCTTATTCATCTATGCTGTTTTTCTATTTTTTAAACCCATACTGTTTTATTAGTCTTTGTTTTGTTTTAAGTACTTTCCATCTATGCATATATTTAAGCTTTGAAATTATTTATAGAGGGATAGCTTTTGAAATTTTAAGGGGAAAATATTTCATTCATTATAATTCAAACCCTACAAGAAAATACCCTACAATAAACTACAGAAAATTGGTAAATTAATGTCATCTATGTATACTGTATTAAGGGGTTCAGAAATTTAATATGAGGGACAGCTCATTAATTAATCTATATCATGTTTGATAATTATTTTCTGTTGATTTTCCCCATAGTCTGTGAAGTAGCATAGAAAGCTGTTCATAGATATAATTAGACCATTGGAAGGTTGGTCTTTCTAGAACCTAGAAGATAATCAACAACATAATCTGTAATATTTTTATATGTAAATATCATTTGAACCTAGATTTAAAAGGGGCCAATGGAGTGAGCAGTCACATAGAAAGAAGTATGGTGTCAGCCAAATGCTGGGTTCTGTAATGTACTTACTGAGTTTTATTTTCAGTTTAAAAAGCATTAGTGCATTATGGGTATTTGAATTTTTAAGCAGTTGTTCAGGTAAGATTATGACTCCTTAATTTGATCTCATTTTTGCAGATAACCTCAGGAATGGTAATAAGTACATTTGTGTCTGCTCCAATCATGTATGTTTCTGCCTGGTTATTGACCTTTCCCACCATGGATGCTAAGCCATTGGCATATGCCATTCAGAATGTTAGTTTTGATATAAGTATTATCAGTCTGGTCTCCTTGGTAAGTACATTTCAGTGTCAAATTGAATAGAAACTACAAAATAAGTTTGACAACTGCTAAGAGAAAATGACTTTTTAAAACTTAAAAAAAAATAGAGAACTAAAGTCTATCTGAAGAAAAATGCAATATCAACTTCCCAATTAACTACATTTGTCTTTCCAATGTGGAGTTTTGAGTTGTATAGTGGGCAAGGTGTGTGACCTAGTCAAACTTGGGTTTGATTCTTTGTCCTATTGCAGGTTACCTATGTGTCTCTTTAGAGTTACTTAACCTCTCTTAAGCTTAGTTTTCTTAGCTATAAAGATAATCATTTCAACTAGTTCTATGGATTGTTTTAAGGTTTGAGAGAAAGAGATAATTATTCTATGAATAATGATCACCATACCAATACTAGCTATTCTTGAATCATAGGATGAGCAAAGGTCTTTGGGATCCAGATTAACCATTTATTTAAATGAAACCAGATAACTTTTTGAATTTGGTCCTGCTAGCTCAAATATATAAGCCTTTAGCAACTGGAGTACCATATAGGTCAGATTGCCTCTGAATTCTTCCAGAATTCTAGATTGGAAAAAGACCATGTTTGTTTATTTATTTATTTATTTTGACAATGTTTATTCTTAATGGGAATGGATATGTATGTTAACAATAAATAAATGCACAATTAATGTGATTCTTAGGAAATCCCATATCTACCACATACTCTTTTTTGTTTGTTTGTTTTTATATTTTTCAAGACGGGGTTTCTCTATGTGTAGTCTTTGGCTGTCCTGGAACTATCTTCATAGACCAGGCTGGCCTCAAACTCACAGAGATCTGCCTGTCTCTGCCTCCCAAGTGCTAGGAATAAAGGCATGTGCCATCACTGCCCAGCCTGTTTTTTTTTATTATTATTATTTTTTTTTTATTTTGGTTTTTCAAGACAGGGTCTCTGTATAGCCTTGGCTGTCCTGGAACTGGCTCTACAGATCAGGCTGGCCTTGAACTCACGGAGATCCATCTACCTCTGTCTCCCAAGTGCTTGAACTAAAGAAGTATGCCACCACTGCCAGGCTCCTATCACATACTCTTAAAAATCTGTTTCCTTGATAAGAAGGTAGTTCAGGGAGGCAGAAGATATCAATGTCTATTGAGAAATAGGAACAAGAAGAAAATTACCCAGCATACTTTCCTGGGCAGTATAAAGGTAGAATAGAAACTCAGTCCTGGGACTGAGGTGTAGCTTAGCTTAGAACATGTGCTTAGCATGCCTAAGACCCTAGGTTCAATCCCAGTACTAGTCAGAAAAGAAGAAAGAGGAGGAGGAGGAGAAACCCAATCCTTTCAAATACTAGAAATACAAGATTAATCTTGGTGTGGGAGGTATGTGTTGTTTGAAATAATACCACCTGGAATTTAGTCTCCTCTGGAGCCAGTGTCAAAAATCAGAAAGGAAAAGTTTAGAAAAGTTATTTCCTAAATAATTGGCTGTGACATTGTGTCTTACTTCAGCCACTGAAGGTAAGCATATTTGGAATATGGCCCTAGTCAAGCCACTAGTTTTTTGTTTGTTGTTTTATTGTTGTTTGTTTTGTTTTTTGGTGGATTTTGTTTGTTTGTTTTTGGGGGTTTTTGGGGGGGGGTTTCGAGACAGGGTTTCTCTATGTTGCTTTGTAACCTGTCCTGGAACTCGCTCTTGTAGACACCAGGGTGGCCTCGAACTCACAGAGCTCTGCCTGCCTCTGTCTCCCGAGTGCTGGGACTAAAGGCCACCAATGACTGGCTAAGCCACTAATTCTTAAAGAACCAATCTGTTAACCATGGATCTCCCGTATCTTTATTTAACTTTGGATATAGTCGTAATAACCTTCAATTTAAATGAAAACTTAAATTTTCTTCTGGGATGAAAATAAGAGAATTCTCTAAAAGTACTAATCATGATGAATAGGCCTAGTGGCACACTTGAACTCCATACAGGAGGATCTGGAATTCAAGGCAAGCCTGGGTTATACAGAGAGATCATGTCTCAAAAAAAAAAAAAAAAAAAAAAAAAAAAACCAAGGGTTAGGATGTAGCTCAGTGGCTGAGTGCTTGTCTAGTATATATGATGCCCTGAGTTCCGTCTAGCCCCACAATAAAAAAGGTTTCTAATATGCTATTTACTAGTAGGTAATTTTAAAGATTGAGAAACATAAATAACTTTAACCTTTTACCTTCAAGATCTGGTCTCTGGCTGTTCTTCTCTTGAGTAAGAAATACAAGCAGCTTCCTCATATGTTTACAACTAATTTACTCATTGCTCAGGTTAGTATACCTATAGATATTTACTCACTGCTCAGGTTAGTATACCTATAGATATTTACTTACTGCTCAGGTTAGTATACCTATAGATATTTACTCACTGCTCAGGTTAATATACCTATAGATATTTACTCCCTGCCCGGGTTAGTACACCTATAGATATTAAAGTGATGCTTTCCCCTGGGATTATTGTACTGTATGAGAGAAAATTACTTTGTTAGATTTTTTTTTCAGTTACAAAGACGGGATTATTAGTAGATATAACCAATTACAATTTAATTACAGCTATTTATGCTTGATATATTAAATGTAGTCGGTTTTAAACTTTGAGATTAATAATGGCAATTGATAACTTGACATTTTAAGATACAAACAATTGAATTCTTACCTGGGTGTGGTGACCCACACAATTCTGAGCATTTAGGAGGCTTAAGCAGGACGATTGTTGTGAGTTTGAAATCAGCCTCTGTTGCAGAGTAAGATTACATCTTGAAGATTGAAGTATGGCCTTACTTTACAGTTCAATCTTGACAATGGAAAGTTTAACATTTCCTGTGTAAATCAATACTAAATAAATCTAGAATTTAGAATATGGTCTTCATTTTCATTTAATATGTACATTGTTGAAGGCTCTACGGAAAAGAGGTTTTTAGTCATAAAGCTTGAAATTTTAGTAAAACTAGTGTATAACAGTTGATGATTGACAATAGTTTTAAATGAAGGGTTACTTGAATAAAGCTTCAATGGGTATGATTAGATTAATATTTTTTCTGTTATGATATTGAATCATACAATTTGCTTTTAACTACTTACAAAGTCTTTCAATAATTTTTTCTTTAGTCTATTGTTTGTGCTGGAATGATGATATGGAATTTTGTTAAAGAAAAAAATTTTGTTGGACAAATTTTGGTGTTTGTTCTATTGTACAGCTCCCTGTACAGCACCTATTTGTGGACAGGTAAGTTGGCTCATGAAAGGACTGTTGAAGTCTGTCCCTCCCTTCTCACTAAAAGACTCAGCATCTATTGATCCATTTGAAGTCTGTTAGCACACACACACACACACACACACACACACACACACACACACACACACGCACGCACACATGCACGCACACACACCTGCAAAGCTCAGTTATCGGCTGAGGCACCTTTTCTGCCTGGCTCAAAGCCCTCTTGAGTCACATGGTCCTCTTCACAGGGGGTTGGGGGGTGGGGGGAGTGGGGGAGGGTCACTGACTCCAGGCCAATGTCAGCATAGCACCCCCCGTGGAGACACCAGGTTCCATGTGTCTCAGCTCACTTCTGGGATCCTACTGAAGTGCAGGCCGTGGTTTTGCCTCATACAAATTAACTACCTTTGGGTCTTCTTGTGCTTTTGTTTGTTTGTTTCATGTTATGTTTATTGGTGTTTTGCCTGCATGTGTGTCTGTATGAGGGTGTCAGAAACCCTGGAACTGGAGTTACAAACAGGTAGGAACTGCTATGTGGGTGTTGGGAATTGAACCTGGGTCCTCTGGAAAAGCAGCCTGTGTTCTTAAGCTCTGAGCCATTTCTCCAGCCCCTGGGTCTTCAGTTTTATTACTTCTAAAACTGGCTTGCAGCACATTACAAAGATATTCTAAGAATGAAGTAAAGTATAGGTATTTACACCTGATACACAGCAGACATTCAAGAAATAGGAATCTATTAATCATGTAATAAAGGGGAAAGAGGGAATAAGAGAACAAGACAAGTGAGTAAGAGGATGTGGAGGGGGGATGTGGAAATGGCTTAGAGTGATTAAGAGCACTGACTGCTCTAGAGGACCTAGGTTTGATTCCCAGCACCCACATGAAGGCTCACAACTCCAGTTACAGGGGATCCAAAGACCTTCACTGGCCTCCATGGGCACCAGACATGCACGTGGTACATACACATACATGCAAGCAAAAACACTCATCTAGATAAGACAATTTTAATAGATGATCCAATGATAAAGAATACTCTTTCAATTGATTCCAAAAAGGATGACAAAATGTTTAACTTAACTTTGCTATTTTGAAATGTAACATTCCTTTAGAAGCAGACATTCTGTTAGGCTTGTGAAAAGTACTGTCTGGTTTGGTTGTTTTTGTGTTCACACCACAAATTTGAAACTGTAAAATGGTCCAGAAGGGACCAGGAAGTGACCAGGGCCAGGAAGTGACCGTGCAGGAAGACCTTTGGTTTCATGGCCTAAAGATCAAAAGCTAGACCCGTCTAAGTCCACAGCCTTTTGAAGTGAAGCAGCAATGTGGAGAGGAATTACAGAATGACCAGTTCACAAACCCAAGATGCTTTGTGCTTCTCTGGGGAGAGTATAACTGCCATAGCATGACACTTGTCCTGAGATGTCAAATTAAAAGAACCTAGAGACTGTAAGTCCAAATATAGGTGGCCCAAACTGACCTCTGGTGCCTGTGGAATTTGTAATGAGAGTGAGAAAACAACAAATAGAGCAGTCTGCCAGAAAGTCCTAACTATCTCCAAACCCCTCAGACATGCAAGCTGAGATCTATCTAAAGAATGTACAATAAAGATACCCTGTGATCATCAGGTTATTATAAATGCAGCAAGCACGATTTTATGGCTCAGTTGCCAAAGGCTAGGTTTATTACCAAAAAGACAAAATTACAGACCCATTCAGTGTATTCTAAAATCCCATGTCCAATCATTTTCAGAGTGGTTTACAAACCACCTTCACCATTTCTGTCCTATCTGCACAGCCACTTGCTTGTTTTTCCTTTAAAATCAATTGTTTTTTTTTAACACGTATGCTAAATCCAATACCAGTGAAGTCCCAAGCTTCATGTGCTAATAAACAGTTTCAAATGTACATTAAGTGTATAAATAGTTCATTTCTCCATCTTTTTGTGGGTCTGGCTTGAATGTTTCATTTTGCAAATTATGAAAGCAAGCCCAAAAGCTGAACGGACTTAAGCAGATTGTCCCAGCTGTCGTCGCACAGATGACACAGAGCAAGGGAATCAGCATTTCAGAGTGCCACGCCCTTCCCAGGGACCCCAGAATCAGCATTTCAGACTGCCATACTTCTAGGCCTTTCGGCTAAGATCAAGTGCAGAGTGCCACACACTTCTCAGGGACCCCAGTATCAGTTTATGTTAATTCTAGTTTAAAGTGTTAATTTCCCATGCCTGTTTGTGTTAATTCCAACTTAAAGTATTAATTATAAGACAGGATCTTATGTTGCTAATGTAGATCACAGCTTGAAATGTAAAATGGAACTCCTCTGCTCCCTATTTTTGTTTTTGTTTTACGCTAGCTTCAGTTGCTTACACATATAGGGTTATGATCGGGTTATCTCACTGCCTTTCTTAAACTCCTGGGCAGTCTTCATTTAACTGTAGGCTGTAATATCATCTGTCCTTCACTTGGCTCAAACTTAATATATAAAGTGAAATCTAAGTTCTGACTAATGGGACCACTTGACTGCATGGTGGACAGTTTATCACCGAGATAGCATTGAAAATATGCCGAAGAGACTGAAAGTTTCTTACAGACATATTGTTTTCAGATCCTGAAAATACATTGTAGGAACCCCAGGACAGTTTCAGAACTTCTCCTCTTGCACCTCAGAAGGCTGGGTTTCTTCTCCACTCTGCCCTCTGGTGTGTGGCTTGGGCAAGCCTTGTTTCTTACATACCTATGAAATTAAAGTGGTAATTTGAAATGGAGGCTACAGTACTCAGATTCTGTAGCCCTGTGGAGTTTATTAAGTGCCACAGGTATAAGTGACAGCGTCAGGCATAATGAAAGTTCAAGAACTTGTAAAGCTGGATGTCATGCCACCTGTCTCATTTCAGCACTCAGAAGGCTGAGGCAGGAGGATGGAGAGTTTAAGGACAGCTGGGCTACACAGCCAGGAAGTCTCAAAATACAAACCAAAAAAGAAAAACAAAAGAATCTCAGGATATTTATGTCTATATTAGATTTGCACCACATTTGTATTAAGTTTAGAACGTTTTGTTTTGTTTTGTTTTGTTTTTGTTTTTTGTGACAGAGTTTCTCTGTGTAACTTTGGAGCCTGTCCTCGAACTAACTCTGTAGACCAGGCTGGCCTCGAACTCACAGAGATTCACCTGCCTCTGCCTCCCCAGTGCTGGGACTAAAGGCGTGTGCCACCAATGCCCAGCTTGTTTAGAACATTTTTATATGAAGATTTGGCACTACATGTGAGGCATTTTCTAAAACCTAACATGTGTAAGAATGTATGTATTTCTTAGCACCAACAAAATGGAATAACTCTTAGAAATGTTCTGTATACAGTTAACTTTTCCAATTCTACTTAATTCTAATCACATAAACGGAAAAACAAACAAACGTTATAGCTTTTGAAAAGAAATCCTTCATCGTTCAGTAAAACAAAATTTGAGTAAAGAAACAGTTATAGGAAGGAAAACAATGGTTTTTATTTAGAAAAATTAACTCAAACAACATTTATTTATGAGGAAAATTTAGAACAAAACCCAGACTACTATTTAAAAAAAAAGCCTGGGGTGCACACCTGTAACCACAGGACTTGGGAAGTGGATACCTGATACCAAAAAGCAAGCCAAACAAAGTCACAAACAAAATGGAAACTGACCCATCAAGATATCAAAACAAGTCCCGTATTTTACAAAGTAGAGTGCTGCAACTTCTGCTCAATGTCGAGTAACCATTTCTTTTACAATCCTGCTTTCTTGTTTCTAGGCCTTCTAGCAGTTTCTTTGTTTCTTTTAAAAAAGAGGGAGAGCATGCAGATCCCTGTGGGAATTATCATAATATCTGGCTGGGGGTAAGTGGCCTTCCTCTGTTTGCTTACTGGTTTCCGTGCCGGCTACTGCTTATTCACTGTCTTTCCCCATGACTCTGGTTACAGAATCCCTGCTCTCCTTGTTGGTGTGCTTTTGATAACTGGAAAACACAGTGGAGACAGCATCGACTCCGCCTTCTTTTATGGAAAAGAGCAGGTGGGAGAAGGTTACTGGCAGTTCCCTTCTTGAAAATGTCTTTTTAGCTATTTTGTGTACCTTGATATTCTTAAATTTAAATTGAAAGCATATTTTTAATTTATTGCATATGACATTGGTGATTTTACAACACCTTACGACACCTCAAGATTTGAACAGTCTTAGCAGAAGATTTATATATGCTTATAACTTGATTTTTTATTTTGTCTTTTGAGATTTATTTACTTTGTGTATGAGTGTTTTGCCTGAATGTCTGTACACACATAATGTGCGTGCAGAAACCGTGGGGGCCAGCAGAGGGAATTGGGTCCCCTGGAGCTGGAGCTACAGACTGTTCTGAGTTGCTATGTGGATTCTAGAAATCCAACCCAGCCAGGACCTCCATAGGAACACACAGTGCTCTTAACTGCTGGGCTATCTGTCTAGTCCCATTAATTGATTTTTATCAAGATACATTTATGAACTATGTTTCCTCTGCTGATGGAATGTAAAAGAAAACAACTTGGTAGTAATAGTAAATGTCAAAGATGTTGCTCTTACGGGAAGTACGAATTCCAGGCCAAAGTATATCGGAGGAAAGTGTGCTTGCAAAGCTATAGACCAGGAGTGGAGCTTGAGGAATTCTTCAGGGGAATCAAAAAAATTCCACCAAAGATTTTTAATTCTTACCTTTTGTTTCATAATTTAGTTTTGTGAGGACAAAAAAAAGATTATATGTAAAAAGGTCGTCCAGCTGGTACTCATAAATATTAGCTATAATTTTTATAATCATTACTATAAGAAAGCCTCCATTTATTGAAGTATGGTTGAACTCCATGCAGCATTTAGAAGTAAATAAAGGAGACATAAGAAATCATTTGGGGGAGGAGCTGGAGAGATGGCTCAGAGGTGAAAAGCACTGGCTGCTCTCCCAGAGGACCTGGGCCCAATTCCCAGCACCTGCCTGGCAGCTCATAACTGTCTGTGACTCCAAGATCTGACACACCCACACAAACATATATGCAGGCAAAACACTAATGCAAATTTTAAAAAAATGAAATCCCACTTACTAAGAAAAAAAGAAATCATTTGGTTACTTAAAGAAAACCAATGACTGTATTGTTAACCACTTGCTGTACATGAAACATCTAAGAAACTTGTAAAACCATGATTTCTTTACATGTAAATCACCTTGCTTCCATACTCCTACCCATTTTGAAGAAACATTGTCCTGTTGTGTTTAAAACTATACAGATGTATTTGCTAGCAAAAAAAAAGTGCTCTTTAAAATATTTTTAAATGATTTATTTTTATCTTATATGCATTTGTGTTTTGCCTGCATGTATATCTGTGTGTGGATGCCAGATCCCCTGGAACTGGAGTTACAGGAAGGTGTGAGCAGTCATGTGGGTGCTGGGAATTGAACCCAGGTCCTCTGGAAGAGCAGCCTTCTTAAACACTGAGCCATCTTTCCAAAAATGTTTTCTTAAACCTACTGTACTAGATTAAGATGAAATTATGAAAACTGGCCTAACATCCTTTTCTGATGCTGGCAGATGATCACCACAGCCGTCACCCTGTTCTGCAGCATCCTCATCGCTGGTGTGTCACTCATGTGCATGAACCGCACCACCCAAGCTGGGCACTATGAAGGTTTCGGCCAGTCTCAGAACCACAAACCAGTAGAGCCTGCAAGCACTGCATTTGAGGGGAGCCCAGCACCAACAAATGAACCAGAGCTCTTTCCAAGTTCTATCCCAGAGACAAGTATGAGCTCTGTGTGTGTGTGTGTGTGTGTGTGTGTGTGTGTGTGTGTGTGTGTGTGTGTGTGTGTGATTTTATTTTTGATTTTTCAAGACAGGGCTTCACGGTGTAGACCTAGCTGTCTTTGAACTCACTCTGTAGACCAGGGTGGCCTCAGACTCACAGAGATCCGCCTGCCTCTGCCTCTGCCTCTGCCTCTGCCTCCCGAGTTCTGGGATTAAAGGCATGCAGCACCACTGACTGACATCCCACATATATTTTAAAACAAAAACTGTCACATATATCCTAGATGTTTTTGTTAATGTAAATTCACTACACTACTCTAAATATTATAGGTATTTGTCAGTTGGACAATGTGATTAATTAATTATAATTAATAATTAATATTATAATTAATAATTAATAATAATTAATCTATTAGATCTTCATTCTTCTAGTGGTTCATCTATTAATCTGAGACCTGGAAGACCACCACCTTCTGGTAGCCTGTTTTGTCTTTCTCCATGAATATTTTAAATGGATACCAAAGGCTAACATCTCTAGGAAGCATTAAACACGGGACATAAGAGACCCTTGGGAGACTTTTGTATTTACCTTTCACCTGACTTTTATAAACAGCAAAAAACTAAACTATAGGCTTTAATCCCTGTTGATATCATCCCCAGCAAGAAAATGAACTTGAACCTGTGTTGTAAACAGGACAGCTATCTGCTGTGTCCATAGGAAACCTGCAGTGTTTCTGCCTTCATCTCCTTATGTATAGCCCTAATTCCATTGCAGTTTTGTTTTTGTGGGACTGAAATTGAACCCAGGGCCTCATGAAAGCTAGGGGAGAGGTCTCCCCTAGAGCTGTATCCACAGCCTCCTCCCTCATTGCACTGTTTCATAACAGCTTTTGTTTATCTGGCCCACTATCCTGTAAATACCATTTCTGATTTGTCTTTATAGCCTCAGTTCCTAGTGAAATATCACACTTACTGTGCATACTTAGTAAAATTATTTTTTACATAAAATATAGTTGGTTGGGTGCTATGATCCTCCAACACTATCATTAAAACTGCTTGAGTACAATGCTTGCGTAATTAATTACCTATTCACCCATGTTCCTAAGGGAAAGACTCTAAAATCTGTCTGGTTATTTTCTCCCCTGAGTCCTCCTTTCTTCTGCTCTAGTAGAAGAGTAAACACATAACACCTCAGATGACCATCTTTCCCTCTTCTCTAGTTTGGTAATTCCACATAGTGCATCTATCTCTGTCTCTTGTTGCATATTTGTTAGAGACCTATGACTTCTGTGTTGTAAGTAGTATGAAATTAGGATCACCTTTTATTATGTGGTCAAGAGTTCAGTTAGTATGACTGGAGAGACGGCTCAGTGGTTAAACACTGCTGCTCTTGCAGTGGGCCTGGATTCAGTTCCCAGTGCCCACGGCTCACAGTACAGGTCCAGGGGATCAGATGCCCTCTTCTGGTCTCCTTGGGCACCAGACACACATATGGTGCACATACATACATGCAGGCAAAACACTCATGCACATAAAACAGAAATTATATAGAAATCTTAAAAATAAATCTTTGAAATTATATAAAAATAGTTCGTTCAACAAAAAAATATTTATCTAATAAAGAGAAACTGATGGCTACCGATAAGTCCTTGTGTTTGAAGGAGGAAACTGCAAGGTTTTTACAGAGGCCATGATTGCTCATTTATGTAGACATTTGTGTGCATGTTTATTCCTTATACGTATGTCATTTGAATGTGCTGTCTACGTGTTTTCTTAATTTTTATTTCTTTTATTTGTAATTTTATTATTTAAACCTTCACATTTCTGAAGAGACTGAGATTAGATATTTTGTTTTCTTTTCTGCTATTCCATGTTTCTTTTTTTAACCTTGAGGTGGCATTATTGTCTTAAAATTAAAAAAAGACATTTGTAGTGACTTATAGATGATAGCTTTTGTACTTTGAAATCCTTTTGTTTTTGAGAATACCACAGAAGAACTTAAGTACATTATCAATGAGAGGTTAAGCCCAAGTATTACTCAATTTTCTTGCATGTACATTGTAATAGTTTATCACTGAAGTTATTATTCTATTAATACTGCAATCCATGGTAGGAAGCACTAGGCCTATATAAATATAAAAAAAAAATTAAGGGCACTGTGTGTGGTTATCTGAGGAAATAAACATATAAATAAATACATAAATGAATAAACACAGAGGAAAATTACATCTATGTGGCATGTCTATTGTGACTTGTATAGAGCAGCTTGCCTACCAATCAGCTGGAGACTCAGCTATGTATGCTTGCAAAGAAAACAGGAGAGTGTTGCTTCCACCAAACCTTCCAGACTCATGAGATAGAAGGGCCCAAAAGAAGTGACTAATGAGACCATCCGGGAAGAGTATTCTGTCAACCATGCCCAGAAGGGGTTTCCAGCTAACTGGAAAGAATTGTCTGGAAAGAAGGGGGTGCCTTTTGTCCAATAGCTGGGGCAGACAGATAATGAGACCAAACCACAGGTGGCTTTCATTTCGGTCAGCACTGATCATCAGTAGAGCAGTTGTATTTACGAAAGTGATGAATGAAAGTCTTGTGTTTTAGGAAATGGTTGAACACAGTGGAGAGGGAGCAGCCTGGATAAAAACATTCCTCTCTGTCTCAAACAGGGAGGGAACAACATAACGGAGCTGACCATTTGTCTGACGCTGTTTAATTGCTCACTGCTGAATAGGCACACCTAGATAGATATGTTTCCATGGAGGGAACATGAGTGGCTTGGGCATGGTTTAGCATTTTCTGAACTTGTGTGTTTCTGCTGTGCTTGAGCCCTACCTTCACATACTATTTCCTCTGTCTAGATTGCTGTTCTTGTTCCTTGGGAAATGGTGACTTACGCTGTCCATCAATAGAGCCAGTAACAAACGCAAGTGCCAGTGGGCCTGTGCCTTCTTCCTTTGAGAAAAGTAAGTGCCCCGGGGCTATGAGGGAGGGCTTAAGGGGGGGGGGGAGAAACCTTTTTATCCTTATATGTGAAAAGAATACTACACAGGCTTCCTATTGAAGCTATACACTGTAAAACATGGTTTGAGAACATGTTTCTAATAAAATGGAGGAAAGTGTTAATCATAGAAACAGGACACTCATTTAAAAAAATAAAATTCTTAAAGATAGTATTGAAGGGTCAAGACCAGTCTGGAGAAACCCACAGAAACAGCTGACCTGAACAAGGGGGAGCTCATGGACACCAGACTGATAGCTGGGAACCAGCATAGGAGGCCTGGACAGTCTATGGGGCCTCTGGTAGAGGATCAGTATTTATCCCTAATATACAAATGGCCTTTGGGAGCCCATTCCACATAGACACATGGGGGAGGGCTTAGGCCCTCCAATTGATATGATAGACTTTGAAGACCCACATGGCAGGCCTTACCCTCCCAGGGCAGCAGAAAGGGGATTGGATTGGGGGGCAGGAGAGGAGAGGAGGGAAAGGGAACTGGGATTGACATGTAAAGCAAGCTTATTTTGAATTTAAATTTTAAAAAATCATTAAAAAAAAAAGGAAAAACAAAATAAAAAAAAAGATAGTATTGAAATAGATTTCACGTTAGCTCAGTGGTAAGTACTTATGCAACAAACATGAAACCCTAGGTTCAATTCCCAGCACTTTCAAAACCAAAAACGAAGGTTAATTGAAGTGAGAAATCCAGGAAACCTAATGAATTTTGGCCTTTTTCTTCTTTTAAAAGCTGAGACTGCCCCCCTTAGCTTTAATTCTCTAGGACCAGGACTAATTAATTCATTGGGCTCTTTCATAAAATGCAAGAGATAATAATACATTTGTTTCACGGGTTTTCAAAATATGACATAACAGGGTATATGTGGCTCATGTGGCTTTATCAAAGATAAAATTTTATTAATCCAACCTCTAAAATTATATTTAAGCTATGTAAAGTGTGTCTAAGTTCTGTGTCATAATTATATAGCATAGTTTTTGTAGACAGAGACTGTTGGTAAGTAATGTAGACAGAGCTACTGCATATAGTTTGTGCATTTTCAGAGAGACTCTTCAACAAAACATGAGGGCATTCTCCTGGTCACTGACAGTCAGATCCCGAGTCTTAGCTGAGTGTGCTTCTGTGTTGTTTCTCTTGGGACTTCATCATGGGCTTGAAGTAATTACAGCTGTGCTCACTATTTTGTAGCAGATCACTGTGTGAGTCGCTGTGACTCCCAAAGCTGCATCCTAGCCCAGGAGGAAGAGCAGTACCTGCAGACTGGAGACCCCCAACTGACCAGACATGTGCTGCTGTGTTTACTTCTCATCATTGGCCTGTTTGCTGTAAATGCTTCTTCTGCTTCTAGTTGGGGCTATTTCTTTAAATATTGGCTTCTCTCAGAGAAGCTTCATTGCTACTTTGTAAAAGTATGGTGTCTAGGTCATCTAAATTTTAACATTTAGTTAAATGTTTGAGGCACAGGGATGGGGCAAGGAGTGAATCTTTATTCTGTTGCCCAGTCATTCCAATGGTCTGTTCTCTGTGAAGTCCTTATTCATTCTGTACTCTTGAACATGGAATTTGTGAAAACAAAGTATTTCCGCGATATATGCAGGACTACTTGCTCCTGACAGTGGAAAAATAGCTAAATTATCTCACTAAAGATATTTTTCTTTCTTTCTTTTTAAGATTTTATTTATTTGTTATATATAGTGTTCTACCTGCATGTAGAAGAGGACACCAGATTTTATTTTAGATGGTTGTGAGCCACCATGTGGTTGCTGGGAATTGAAGTCAGAACCTCTGAAAGAGCAGCTGGTGCTCTTAACCTCTGAGCCATCTCTCCAGCCCATAAAGATATTTTTCAAATACACTTTTAAAAATAATTTTTAGGGGCTAGAGAGATGGTTCAGTTAAGAGCACTTCTGCTCTTACAGAGGACAAAAGATACTCAGCATCTATAACCACAGTTCCAGGGGATCTGATGCCATTTTTCAGCCTCTGTGAGCACCAAACACATGGTAACATACACATACATACATATGGAAACATACACACAAACCTTTAAATGTTTTTAATTATGAAAATCTTCAAACTATAGAAAGAACAAGAAAATCATCCATCACACTAATGCCTTCTAATTTTTTTCATTATTATTTAATGGAGGTTGGACCCAGGTCTTCATGAATGCTAATCACAAGCTTAACTACTGATCTCTATCCTCAGCCCTGCCTACCAGTATTTCAGCACACTGCATGGTTAAAAGTACATTCAGACTTCTATATTGCTTTTTTTCACCTATGTCAAATAATGCTACTTGACTGAAGTGTTCAAAACCATTGTTTTAAATTACTTCCCAATAGCCACAGAAAAGCAACATCATAATTTATTCAAGTACTTCTTCATAAATTGTTTATGATTTTTCAAAATGCCCTAATAAACACCTCCAGACATCGTATTCCCTATTAGTAGATTCCCGAAGTTGAGAACCCTGCATCAAAGTCTAGAAGCATTTCTATGACACAGATGTAGTCTACTGATTCTTTTCCAAAGGAGTAGTGCATGTCCTCATGCTGGCATAAAATACGGAAGGATTTTCAATAAGTACAGTACTTTATTTTGTTGTATACATTTCTTTAATTATAGAAGGGTTTTTATTTGTTGCTCTCATTTGTGAATTATCAGTTGTTACACATAACCCCTTAAGATGATGGTTCAAGTGTGAACCATCCCTAGAGACGGGAGATGGGCCAAAAGCCTTTGCAGCCTTTTCGCACTTGGATGTCACTGTATAGCGTGATATTAGCCAGCAACACTGAACGGCCATCTAAGAACCAAAGTCAAAAAGTAAGAAATACTGCCAAGAACTGCTGCTTAGTGATACAATTATTTTATTGTGTCAAACTAATTTTAAAATCCATCCTGTGTAGGCTAGTCGTCAGTCCTGATATATTATGTAAGCTCCTGTATTATGGCTCCTGTCTTCTTGCTTCAAATTTGATCAGAATAGACACTGTTTGAATGGCATCTGTCAAGAGGAGAGGTTGAAACCTCTTGTTTGAAAGACAAAGCTTCTACATTCTCTCAGTGTTTTTCCCCTTCAGTCGTTCCCCCCTAATTATTAGCTAGAGAAGTCATCATGCTGTGCTGGGCTGGGTGGAGAGAAATGAGTCTTGTGCCTAATTGTTAAGCACCTCTTTCTTCCCTTTACAGAATCTCTCTAGCTGTTTGTGGTGGCTGTTCAACCATGAGACTGGACGACTCTATGTGGAATTGCAGTTCTTCTGTGCAGTGTTTAACTTCGGCCAGGTATTTATTTACTGGGAACTGAGAGGGCACTGTTTTCTTGGGTGAGTTGATTGCGGGGTGATGGGGTGCAGACGTTGTTTTCTTTTACATCAAAAGGGTTCAGTTTGTTTATCAGCTGCTGGTACGCCACAGCTGACAGCTGCTGCCTGTCTCCCCGTAGAGATGAATTATATTGGTTGAAGTCATCAGCATGTATGCTGAGTGTTTCAACCAGAAATACCGAAGTCTTTTTTTTTAAATGAAGAATAATGATAAAGTAGGAACAAGATGTCCCTGAATTCTTCTTAAACTTCTTATGATCTCCACAACTCACTTTGGAAAATAACCACAAGTTTCTCTGAGCCTTTAGTTTGGCCACTTAACATTACTAAATATCACATGGTTTTTGAATGACAGGTACTTAAATTGGTATTGTAAAAATCATGTGACATATAAGTACATTTCAGTAGAAATAGTAGTAACCTTTTTTCAAAAGTCTACCACGTACCAGCTCTTGTTAAGGATTTTATATTCATTATCTCATGTAAATGCTGAAATACCTGCAAAATAGATACTACCATTCCCCGTCTCTTGTTACTACTAAAATTGATATGTAATGTCTAGCACTTAGAAGGCTCTGGGTTTAATTCCTATCATTTGTGACAGAAGGGAGCTATTTAAAGAAAAACAACATTTTGAATTTTGGGAAATATTTTAAATGCAAAGTCCAAAATTTGATCTTTTCATCATCCCGCTTTTCTTATTCCTTCTTTTTAAAGTGCCGGGATCAAATTTTCACTCGTGCGTACTAGGTGTATCAGTACATGAGTCACACATAACCACACTGAACCACATCCCCAGTTCAAACCCTTACATTTTAATTAGAGAATATTCATAAACTGACTATCAACTTGAAAAATACTGTGTTGGAAGTCACCGCCTATTAAAATCTGTCAGTTTCTGCTCCTACATGTTTTTGCCATCCATTAGCCACTCAAAGTGTTTCCTGTTTGTTTTAATATTGTTATTGGAAGAAAACCAGCAAAGGATAAGGAAACACATTATGTAACTGGTTCATTACAGACAAACATGGGTGGCCCAGAGCCATCTGATACTGGTCTTAACGTTGTGAAACTAGTTAGGATCTGATATTATCCAACTATAGAATACTAGGCTGAAAAGTCACAGTCCCCCTAAGCATTTTACATTCAGAAAGCCCACTCCAGATTGAGCTATGCTAGGAACCAAGCAAGCTCCATTCCACAGGGCTTTGTCCAGAACAGAACTAATGGCAGGAATGTCGCACTTCAAATGCTGTCTACACAGCTTACATCTTAAGTGGTTCAAAGGCCTGAGAAGGCACAATCTCACTCCAATCCTATTTTCCTTCTAAGGACTTGGTGTAGCGCCATGGTCCCTCCTGACTATCTGTAGTTAAGACAATCAAGTCTTTGCAATATTTTGTATTAAAAAACTTATAATTATGTGTATGTCTGTCTTATGGTGTGTCTGGGGAAGACGGGGTTTCTGCATGTGACTCCATTTGCCTGTGGAGGCCAGAAGAGGGTGTTGGATCCCCTGGAACTGAGTTCCAAGCAGTTTTGAGCCACTCAGACTGGGTGCTGAGAACTGGGCCCTGCTTTTCCAGAAGAGTGCCATGTACTCCCCACTGCTACCCCACCCTCTAGCCTCATGCAACAGTGCATGGAAGACCATGCTTGCGATGCATAAGTCTTTAGGGGACCTTTCGTATCTATGACATAATGCTGACTGTATTACAGTGAGATGTTACTGCCCTCCTTACTTATATTTGTGAAGTTTTAACAGAAAAATAATAAGTCCATAGACACACACTCGGAGATTTCCTTTTCAAAAAGAGGGAAACAAAACCATGCAGGCTTTAAATGATTTCGGTTTTTCTTCAGGGAGCTGTCAGGCAAACAGACATAGCTCTTCAGCTTTTAGCACCCTTTATAATTACTAGGGCAGAATGACTGAGCAGAGGCAACAAGCAGGGCGCCATGTGTGCCTGCAGGCGCTGAACTTAAGTCTGCTTTGTATGCTGAGTTTATTTTACTTCATTTTTAAGAGTTTGAAATTTTTAATCACCCTTATAGTAAGCCCATACATAAAAAAATTTTTTTCTCAAATGCATGACATTCTCCCTTGGCCTCCCACATGCTGGGGTTACAGGCTTGTAGTGCAGATTACAAGCCACCTGAAGTAATTCGCCTCTTTCACAGAAGTGAAAGTGGATGTTCCACATCTCTTCCTATAGCCACAGCTTTTTAAACAGCACTCCAAATAAGAACCGGCAGGTGGTGGTGGTGGTGGTGGTGGTGCATGCCTTTAATCCCAGCACTCGGGAAGTAGAGGCAAGTGGATCTCTGTGAGTTCCAGGCCAGCCTGGTCTACACAGCTAGTTCCACAGCAACCAAGGCTACATAACGAAACCCTGTCTTGAAAAACAGCAACAAAGAACCAAAACCAATTGTGTTGCAGCTCTACATTTACTAGCCAACTCCCTACCCCACCCGACCATCATGGGGACTAGGGACTCTTGCTTTTCCGTCTTTGGTCCATCCCAATTATTCCTCCTCACAGCCCCTGTGCTCGGAACTTTGTAAATGCACTGAACAGCCTAGTAAATGAAGACGGGCAAACATCAGTGGGTGAATGGGAGTGTGTGCTGAGTTTAAACTGCTGCTCTAATCACGATCAGCTGCTTCCGCTGCTCTAAATGTCTTAATTTCTGTCTTAAGGTTTTACTGTTGAATTCAGATAGAATAACTGTTTTCTCCCCTAGGGATTTATTTCCTTTGGAATCTTTGGTTTGGACAAACATTTAATCATCCTACCTTTCAAAAGAAGGTAAATTCAGTTTTGAAATAAAGCCTATGTACCTAAAGGTGATGACAAGGCCATTCTATTAAAATATTGATACTTTTATATCTGCTAGGAGACCATAAATACCACACAAAGGGTTTCTGTGGAATCAAATATTTGTTGCAAATAATTGCAGAGAAAGTATTTGAAGAAGTATTATAAATCTGGCAATGTAATTTGCATTTTAAAAGAATTGATGGGCACTGACTTCTATCTATGCTATTAACTACATATAGTTAAACTTGGAAATGGCAGTGGTAGGTGGTGTGGTCCCCCATCACAGTTCACCTCTGATTGTCTTTCTCCTTTGCCTATAGGCTTTCTCTTTCTATAAAACTGGGAGTTTACAGAAAATTCAAGGGTTTTCTCAACTTGGGGTTTTATTGGCTTCCAGGAAAGTTCCTTTTAATTAAGATCAAGGTTTCTTTGTAAAAAATAATAAAGTAAAAGTTTCAACATGGGGTGGAAAGAGAGGCAGGGGGAAATGTTCTTCATTTGCTCTCAAAGGGAAAATTCATAGTCACTAGAAGTGCTAATGAAATTCAACCTACCTACTCTAAAAGGAGTGCCAGTTAACAGTGTCTGTCCCTTCCGTCATCATCACCATCATTTCCTCACTAAGATGTCATTGCTAAGGTCATCATTGTTTCTAAAAGAAAAGTATAACAGAAAAGCCATTCAACTTAGTTGCCAGCTTCATAATGCCGGCCAAGTCAAACGTCAACAGTTTTATTTGCATGGATGGACAGGATGGATTGCTTTCTTCTCTAGATCTTGGCATTTGTTGCAGTGCTACTAATGGTGAAAATGGTGAAATAAAATGCCTAAGTTAACCTTGGCTGGTTTTGTTTTGGTTTTAATTTCTGAGGCAGTCTGAGACATCGGCTGAGTTTCTAAGTTATGTCTGTGTTTCAAAAGGTCAAACACAGAAGGAATATCTTAGTAGAAACTGAAATGGGTCAAACATATCTAGAGAACATAAAAAGTGGTCAGCCCACACCCCAGGCTGCTCAAAGAGCAGGTATAGACGAACAGGGCACTTCTGGTTCAGAGACTAATGACATCTGGGTGTTGATGACAGAGCTTTGGTGACTGGATTTGAAATAGCTACTTGGTGAGGCAGGTTGGATCTTCTCACACTTTTTTTCTATCCTTAAGAAATAGCCCACTTAAATTTTGGTTTTCAGGCTTGAATTCCTGTGGAACAATAAGGAGATGGCAGAAAACAGAGAGTCCCCTGTTTCTGAGGAGATAAAAATGACCTGTCAACAATTCGTACATTATCACCGAGACCTGTGCATCCGAAACATCGTCAGAGAAAGAAGGTAAAGCTGGCACAGGGTTCAGAAACATAGATTCCAGATTACTAACATTAGGTTTTAATGAATAGATAGTTGTGGGTTAGTTTATAGTTTAAGAAATAAGATATAAAAATGATGCATCACTTTGATTTTTACGTTTGATATCAGGTAGCTTCTGGTTTCTATAATAAAATGTGAGCTGTGAAAGGATCCAGTGTGGCAGGGTATTAACACTCTCTTCATGTTGGCCATTAGTGTCTGTCATAAAGCACTGAAAAACCACTAGATTTAAGCAGGGATTTTATGTTCTCATCCCCTAGTGCTATGTTATTTCATATTACTAATGATGCTGCCAAGAGAATGAGATGAGATTTCTGCCTCTTAATTAATTCTGTGATATTTATTTCACCTCAAGTCCTAGTCATTATTTTGTGACATTATGTTTATTCTTCTAATCCCCAAGTACAGAATATGCTGCAGCAGGGAACGATGACCTATGAATAATTAGATATTTCAGTGCTGATAGTTTTATTTGCCATGAAAGAGGAATAATCAGAATTGTCAGTGCCAGTAGTTTCGGTTGTGATGAAAGAGGAAATAAAACAAAGCAAAAATAAAGAAAGAAGGAACTGGGGTTGGAGAGAGGGCTCAGCAGTTAGGAGCACTGCCTGTGCTTCCAAAGGTCCCTATTCATTTCCCAGCAACCACATGGTGGCTCACAACCATCTGTAATAAAAATCTGGTGCCCTCTTCTGGTGTGCAGGCACACATGCAGGCCAAACACTGTATACATAATAAATAAATAAATCTTAAAAAAAAAAAATAACCTAATACCCTTATGTGTATTTCTAAAAAAAATGGAAATTACTCTTCAAGATGGTTCGTTTCTAAGCACTGTCCCACTATGCTCAACATGCATGCCATTACAGTCAGAATATAGCCTGGCAGTAGAAGTGAGAAGGGACAAACAGAAAGATAAACAGAAAAAGAACTCCTCAGCTGGCATGTCTTGGCAAGTTCAATTCTAAAAACCTCAGATTTCCTTTTCTTAAAAAAAAATTCTTACCTCAGGCCCTGGAGAGATGGCTCAGCAATTGAAAGCACTTGGTTTACACAGCCCCAGCTTCTCAGTTTCTAGCTCCCACACCATGGCTCACAAACTTCTGTAACTCCAGTTTCAGTCATGCACATGGTGCACATACATACATACATGCAGGCAAAATACTCACACACATAAAGTAATTATAAGTAAACCATAGAGGAAAATCTTACTTTGATGGACAAATGTCTGTGATGAGCTTTGCCCAATTACCGACAGTGATAAACTCTGGAGAGAAGTGACTTTTCTACCTTGAAAGGTTGCGCACAATTTCAGGACACTGCCCATGGATAGTTTGAACAGTTTAACATTGCTTTAAACTTTTCTTTTAGGAAAATTCACAGTATTTGTCAGGTTCATGTGCCTGCCAACTGTCAGGAAGCAGAACTCTTAGCATTTGCTGAGTACCAGGTCCCAGATGGTTAAATGGGCACCAGCTGGTATAAACCATCAGATTCCTGCTCCTTTCCAGGATCTGCAGCCTTTCCCATGTCACCATCTCTGACACTTTACTATTGCATAGGCTCTTATGACAGCTGCCTGATCACAGCAATCAAGAAACAAATATCTTCAGTTACTGACTAGGACAGAAGGTATCGCCTCTACATTAAAAGACCCTGACACTGACTCTAACACGGATATTTTAGATAGTTGAGAAAAAAATTGTTATTAACGTTTTTTCTGATTCTTAGATGTGAAACTTTGTATTTATGGTAAAATGCCTTAAATTCTTGACACCTATTTGTCACTTCATTTTGCTCTTCACCTCTATTTCCTGTTGCCAAGCACTTTAGATCTCACAGCTTGATTGATGCTTATGGAGGTTCTTGCTGTCTGGTGCACATTTGTAGGAAAATGTTCATAATTCATGTGATTGGTCCTCTTGTTCTGCATTTTTTTCTCTCTATCTGCTCATACTTAAGCAATCCAAATTTGCATTAGGAAGACATATTAAACAACCCAAAGCAAATAAAAACCAAAGCACACTTCCCGAAGACGATTGATTTTTATTATTTGATGAATGTGCATGTCTGTGTGCATGCCTGTGCTGGTCAGAAGAGGGAGTCAGAGCCCCTGCAGCTGGAGTTACAGGCAGTTCTGAGCTGCCGACGTAGATGCTGGGAACTGAACTGGGGCCCTCTGGAAGAACACTGAATACTCCTAACCAGCGAGCCACCTCTCCAGCCCCAAAGCACACTCTTAAACTCTGACTTGTTTGCTTCGATTCCTAATAAAGCAAATGAGTGCATTGACTGCTGAGGAAAAAAGATTGTTTGTGGGCACCATAAACTGAACATGAAGTTTGATTTCAGCAGGTTAATAAAACCATAGAACAACTTTTGTTCTTTGAGATGGAATCACATCATGTAACCTGTACTCAAACCCAGTTCTGTTGCCTCAACCTCTCAGGTGCTCAATTACAGCCATGCATCACAGACACAACCAGACAGTCAATGATATACCAGTCATGTGTATGACAGATAGATAAAAGACCATACTGGGAGCTTACTGGGAGCCACAGCAGTCAGCAAAGTACCTGCTACGCAAGCACAGGCACCTGAGCTGTTCTTTAAAACCCAGCTGAAAGCTGGACTAGTGGCATGTGCCTGTCACCTCAAGCCTAGTGGGAAGAGAAAGCAGCCAAATCCATGAGCTTTAGGCTCAGTGAGACTTCCCCGTCACGGAGGAGAGAAACTGAGGAAAAACACAAACATTGAACTCAGACTTCCACATACATGTGTACACATTACATGCATACAAGTACATGTAACACACATACACACAGGGCATGCTGCTATTAAAGGATACTTCTTGGGGAGTTAGAGAGATGGCCCAGTGGTTAAGAGCACTGGGTGCTCTTCCAGAGGACCTGGGTTTGATTCCCAGCACCCACATGGCAGTTCACAACCATCTGTTAACTCCAGTTCCAGGGGACCTCATGCTCCCTTTAGGTCTTGGGTACTGCATTCGCATGGTACCCACCAGACATAAATGCAGGTAAAACTCTCATACAAATTTAAAAAAACAAATATAAGTTAAAAATTTAAAACTATTGTCAAAAAGTTTTCTTAATCTATGCTGCTCAATATGGTAGCTGCATGTCATACATAGCTGTTTAAATTCTCGGAAATTAAGCCAAGTTAAAAAAAAAAAAAATTCACCACCCTTCTTGGGGGTAGGAATATGGCTCAGTGGATAAAGTGCTTGCCTCACAAGCATATGAGGACTAGATTTGGGATCCCCAGAACCCACACAGAAGCTGGGCAGGTGTGGTGGCCTGCATGTAATCCCAGCAACAGGTAGACACAGGCAGGGGATCTGTCTGGGACCATCCGGCAAGCTAGGCTAGCTGGAATGGGTGAGCTCCAGGTTCAGGAAGAGACCCTGCCTCAATAAGTGAAGAGGAATCAAAGTCACCCATTGTCAACGTCAGGCTTCCACATGTCTATATACATACACGTACCCATACACAATACAATTCAAACATGCATAAACACAGAGACACATGCCACACACATACACACCTGTGCTTCCCTCCAGAAAGAATTTTTCGCAGGCAATATACTTCTCTATGCCATTTTTAAAAAGTGTTCATTTTCACGATCATTACTGGCGTGTCTTATTTTTCACCAGTCTCTCTAGGTCAGGAAAGGTAACAAAGTCTTCACATTTAGAACACTTCCATTTCTGTCTTGCTCGTAGCTGTCATTCTGCCTTTCCTCATTTCCCTTTTATTTTTCTTTGCTCATCCTTTATCATGCAGTGCTGGTACCAGAATTACAGAACATATGGCTGAATCATTCCTTTGACATACAGGTGCGGTGCAAAGACTTCCGCGGGGACTTTCTGTGGCTGTGACCTGGTGAACTGGCTAATTGAAGTTGGCCTTGCCTCTGACCGTGGTGAAGCTGTGATCTATGGGGACAGACTGGTGCAGGGGGGAGTCATCCAACACATCACCAATGAATACGAATTTCGGGACGAGTATCTGTTCTACAGATTTCTTCAGAAGAGTCCTGAACAGAGTCCTCCTGCCGTTACTGTAAGCAACCCCCAACAGGAAGGCTACAAAGAAACTGGCCACTCGTCGCCATCCTCACTGTCCCCTAAGACTTAAATGATGCACTCGAGACCCCCACGTGGACTCGTACCCTCTAGCCTCCCACCTGGCACTCTCGGCTGTGGATCCTGGCTCAGGCAGGCTACCTTCCTGAGCCTCCTTCATCTCTGCTGTAAGTGGCAAATGCATTCCTACCCGTACTGACACGCTGTAACCTTATGTGCATGGAAAGCACACAGGAAACTGACAAGAGAAGCCTGAAGTTAAATGATCTGATGATGGGTACAATAATGCTATAGGTGCCTCTATTGCACCGATATTTTAAAATCATTTCTTTCTGTAACTGTTCATTATAATTTCAAAGTCACTATCCAACTGGCTGGTATTTTTAAACTGCCAAATTTGGCAGGATTGCTGCTCTAAAAATGATCCTTAAGACAACTTTACATTTATCGATCACACTTCCCCCAAACAGACTTTTATTTGTTCTAGTAAAAACTTTTATTTCTCTTTCCACTTCTTTGGCAAATACTACCATTTAAAAATTAGAACTACTGTTTTGTTTTTGAGATCAGGTCTCATGTAGCCAGGCTGGCCTCAAATTCCCTATGTAACCAAGGATGGTTTTGAACTACGGACCTTCCTGCCTCTGCCTCCTGAGTCCAGGGCTTATTGGTGTGAGCCACCATGCCTGGCTAACCCCACTATTTTTTAGAAGTAATTTTTAAATTTATTTTTGATAAAACACCAGTTTTAAAGCTTTGCCTTTTCCTGTCTTCTATCTAGAGTATTAATATGTGTCAATAAGAAGAAAGTAAGAACATTAATATCATCTCTATAATCTTTCCAGTTAAAATTTTAAGTAATCTGAGCATATTCATTTAAATGTTATCAAAAGTGTTGCCATGAGATGTACTATTTCTGGTACTTTCAAAGTATCATGTTGTAGAAGGAAAATCTGTTTTAGTCCCTGCATTGAAAAAGTATGTGGTCAGAAATTTAAAATTCTAAACCTAGCATCTTACCCTCAGAATTTAGTCTTTAATGTTTCCATGTCTAAAAATTTGTAAGTTTAAAAATTACCAAATGTTGCTTAGTCCACTAAAATCCTTTTAAAAAATGGACTCGAAGTAGATAGCCCCGAAGCATCAGGTCTTTCTTAACTGGTCTAGAGGCTGTGTAGTGCAAGATCAAGGTGGCGCACTGAGCAGCTGGTAAGGCCTAGGCGCAGGTTCTCTGATGGGTGCCACATCCGGTAGTGGGGAAGGGCTCCGGTCTCATCACCCTTAGAAGGGCAAATCAACACCTCTTCTCTCACTAGCCGATCTTCTCCACGGCCACCACGCTGTGGCTAGGTTTTGATATCTAAACCATAACACCTTCAGATAGCTTTACCTTCTGATAATTTGCACATCCATTGAACTTAATTATTAGATATCAGTGATGGTTTAACTTATTTTAAATGTTACTTACCTCATAGTGTTTCATATATAAAAGCTACCTAAAAAAAATTATATATGTGGTTAGTGCCCTGACTCTTTTAATGTAGCAAATATATAATTAAAAAAAAACTTTGCATGGAAGTCTAGTGTATTAAAAAAGAAGTGATACTTATGCTATGATCATGGAATTGGGATGTTTTAGGCAGAAAATTTCATTATACAACTTAGGGGGAATACAAGACACACCCACACTGTAACTCCCAATGCCCAGGAGTACACAGACGCACTTGCTCTAGCAGCCTCTGCTGACACAAGACAGAATTTACATACACGCAAGCAACTCAGATTCAAGTGCAGGAAGTGGTTAAACCAGTGAGTATGTGGGTAAACCGTTAAGTCTGCTCTGTTATTTGCACCATTAAGTCTGCCCTTTTATTTGCACAAGTGAAATCTGAGACATTATTTTCCATGGTTTTTTTCTAAAAGAAAGCCATAGATCAGAGTGATTTGCAGTTTCAGATGATAAAGGCCTTTAAGGGGTGTTTCTAGGATTAAGGATAAACTAATTTTATTAAGTGAAAATATTTGTATGTTACTTTCTCACTGATGGCACGTTTCTCAATAAAATACTTATTTTAACTTGCATTGTCAACATCTTTTCCTTGAGTAATCCAAATAATGGTGACCACAGCACACAAGTCTTGTCTGTAAATTCTCACAGCTTTCTTAGGTGAGTTTCCTGGGGTGATCTCATGACCTTCTGGTTCTGCAGAGTCTGGAGCAAGCAGACCTTTTGAAGTACCTTTTGAAGATTGGGCGTGAGGGGATGAGTGACCGCGGATGCACAGTCTAAGTGTAAAGTGTTCTTCAGGAAGACAGCCTTCACATTTCTGCAGCCACTTGATGAGAACCTGAAGCAATTCATTTTTGTCGTTGTTTGTCAAGACAATTCTCTCTGTGAAGCCCTGACTGTCCTAGAACTCACTCTGTAGACCAGGCTGGCCTTAAACTCACAGATCTGCCTACCTTTGCCTCCTGAATGCTGGGATTAAAGGCGTGTGCCAGCATTGTGGAAGTATTTTGTAAAATGCTGTTTAGAATTAGCTAGGCAGTGCTGGTTCACGCCTTTAATCTTAGCACGCAGGAGGTAGACACAAGTGAATCTTGGACAAAGAGTGAGTTTCTACACACAGAAAACCTGTTTCAAAAAAACCAAACAAACACTACTTCCTTAAAACCAATACTTTTACAAAAAGAAACTCTTTCTAAAATTTCATTTTTAAGGAAATGTATTAGAGATTAATATATAAACTTATATTTTCATCAAAGATCAAATGAGCCAATTTTATGTAAAATAATTGTTTATTATTTTTTACTCTTACAACATTAAAATTTCTAAAATACATCCCAAAGCATTGATTACCAACATGAGTACTCGCATCTCAAATATCCTGTTGTATATACATAGTGAAAATTGCTACAAATTAACTCACATATCCTTATAAACTTTGAATTTTTCTAGGGCTCAAACTTATGAGGCTACCAAGTTATACAGATAAATAATCTAGCTAATTTATTTAACTTTACATTTCTGTAGAAAGGTCTGCATAAATTCTTTTCACCAGTATTTGGATGTTCCTCCAACAAATATTACATAATAGCAGAGCATATATTGAACAATGGACCTTCACGGAACTTCCACGGTGAAATAATTAAATGTATGATTAATGTGAGGCCACATATAACCCTGATTACATGGAAGGAACATGCCTAAGAGACTCATTTGTTAGCAAGCTCTAAGGGTGAAAAGAACTACTTCCATAAAAGAGGTTCAAGCAGAGGGTACAGCCATGAGGAAGGAATGTGCACACTGGGTACGTATAAGGACTTGAAACGTCCACTATCACCGAAACAAAAATCAATAGCAAATGTGTACCAATATATACAAAGGGCGGATAAACTCCGCAGCATCTCTCCATGGCACTTGGTAAGGATTGAGGCTTTACCTTCAGAACAATGAACTTTAAGAGTTTTAGACTTGGGTGGGAGGGGCTGGAGAAATGGCTCATGGTTAAGAGTCGCTGGTTGCTCTTGCAGAGGATCTGGGTCTGGTCCCCAGCACCCACAGGGTGGTTCACAGCCATCTAAAACTCCAGTTGCAGAGGATCTCATGTCCTCTGAGGGCACCAGGCACATGTGTGGTACACAGACATGCATGGATCGAAATACTCATGAAATATAGTTTTAAAAACTTTAAAAAGAAAAGCATAGACTCCCTAGTAAAATAAATAAATCGTAAGTAAAAAAACACCTGATTATAGAATGGGCCAATATCTAGACACTTCATCAAAGAACGTTTACCAATGGAAATAAGAATTCAAAATGAAACATATGCTATTTGGAATTACACAAATTAAACCAAAAAATTGCAAGGTCATAGGTTCAATCCCTGTTACCTAACTAAGTGAGAAACTGTACACACATTAGAATGACCAAATTCCAAAACACCATCGATTGGCCAGCACAGGAACAATGGGTTGGAGAGGGGTGGAAACAGCAACATTCTGGAAGACAGCTTGCCTGTCATGGGTGAAAGTTGTGTGTTGAAGAACCCAGTCTGAAAAGACTACCGACTGTAAGAGTCCAACTGCACATTCTGAAAAAGGAAAACTAACCAGAGAACAAAAGGACTGACAGTGTAAGGGCATGGGGCCTTAGACTTAGACACTTTTCTAAGGTGGTTAATATTTGCCCAAAGCACAACAACTCATATGACAGACTTTCCATTGGGAGGGGAAAAAAGCATGGGGCTTTCTTAACTGAGAAAATGACGTAAGGGCAATACAGGATATGACAAGCAGAGCCCATGCATCGTGCTAGTGTTTTGTGCTTTATGCAACTAAATACTAATTACCATGGTTTTAACAGTCAAAATATCACTTAATATTATGCAGGGATAATCAGATCTCCTTAAAGTAGCTACGTATCATTTATCAGGCAGTAAGGAAGATTTTTGACCACTTAACATATCATTAAGAACTAATATTTGACTGATAAATTTTAATTTCATCTTGTACACATTGGGTAAAGAGATTAACAGTCTTATCCTTGTCAAGATGTTTGTTTTGGAGGACTGATTCCATCTCTTCAAACACTTCTTTTTCCAGCTTCTTTATGTTGTCTAACGTTGTCTTGCTTTTTTCCTAATTAAAATAATAAAAGTCAATACACTTACATGAATATAACAACATTCCAAATCACTGGCAAAGTTTATTTATTCTGGTTTCTACTGGTTAGGTTATTTTCCTAGTCTGTAGATACAAAAGGAATGAAAAAAAAAAAGAATGTTTTTCTTTAGGAAAAATCATTGCTCTAGGTTCAGTAAATGCACAAATACCAAAATTAGTTATTTTAGCTGAAAATACAAGAACACAGTATTAATAAACAAGAACAGTATTAATAAACAAGAACATAGTATTAATAAACACAGTATTAATAAACAAGAATGGCCACACAGTATTAATAAATAGGAAATTCAGAACAAGACAAATGGGAATTTGCTTTAGTTGAATATAATGAAGTGTACTGAAAATCAAGACTAGGATGTTTTTGTGGATTTAGAGCTTGTATATTTCAAGCCAATTTTATTTGATTAAGGAAATGGGCCTGCAGGTCCATGTCAGTGGCAGAATGTTTGCCTAGCACTCTTGAGGACTTGGGTTCAACCCTTAGCACTGAGAAAACAGGATAGCAGATAAATAAATGCCAATAAATTCCTTCACACCAAGGGAACAAAACAGTAATATTCAAGAGGAAAAGCAATAAAAAGGTATTTCTCCTTGTGTCAAGAAAGTGTGTGGGTGTGTGTGGGTGTGGGTGGGTGACTCTTAGAGAAAGCAGCACATTTCCTGTGCGCAGTGCTGAAGACTGAACTCAGGACCTTGTACACACTGGGCAAACGCTCTACCTCTCAACCCACATTTTCAACCTAAAAAGGAATAATTTTTTAAACAGTTGAAAAGTCATCATCAATTTGGATCTAGAGGGGGGAAAAGAACATTACCTAAGTAAGCACCGTTGCAAACTTCTCAACAATTTTGAGACCACCAAGTGCTACAAAATGATGATTCCTAACATGAAACTGCATGTATACCCCACTCCCCAAAGAAGCACTGTGTTTTGTGATAATGGGGGAAAATAATTTTGTAAATAAGCAGTATTTAAATAATTGATCATCTTTTTGAAAAACAAGCTCAGAATTGCTGCCTTCATGACATATAAAACAGATTCAGGATGGGTTAATCAAATAATGTTAGTATTTATTTATTTGTGTGCATTTGTGTGTGCATGTGAAGGTACCATCATGCTTTGCCTGGAAGTCAGATGGCAACTTGTAGGAGTTAGTTTTTTTCCTTTTACCATGTGGGTCCTGGGGACTGAACCCAAGTCATTAGTCTTGGCTGTAGGCGCCTTTACCTGCTGAGCCATTCAACCAGTCCTAGAGAATTACGTATTTTTTTAAAAGCACACATATGTGAGCCAGTAAGATGACTCAGTGGGTAAAGATGCTTGCCACCAAGTCTGATGACCTGAGTTCTATCCCCAGGACCTACATGGTCAAAGGAGAGAGCCAACTCCTGAAAATTGTCCTGACCTACCATAGACAGGCAGACACACACACACACACACACACACGCACGCACGCACGCACACACACACACATATATACACAGTGACATATAGATAGTACATGCATACATATAAACATTAATAAACATTTAAAAGTCATATATAACAGAAAGAAAATATAGAAAAATCACTTATTATGAGCTAAAGCAGGTGTTTTGAAGAATGAAATCAAAATGCCATAAGAAAAAAAAAACCAAAATTGACTAAATTAAATTTTTTGACATAAATGGTTAGTGTCAGTTAACTGACATTAAAAGAGGTGACGTAAGTTGGGTATGGTGACATTCACCTATAATTCTACTACTTGGAACTGAGACAGGAGAACCACTTATACTCAAGAGTAAGAGTCCAACTTGGGCAATACATCATGAGCCTATCTTTAATGTGTGTGTGAGATCTAATATTCATATTTTTGCCTCTTGAGGAAAAACAAAAGACTGACTCAAAATCAATTGAGAAATAAATTAAGGAAAAATGAATAGCTAAGTCACCTGAGGATAAAAAATAACAGTAAGCACAGATTTCCAGCCTCACTAGTACTCAAGAAATGTAAATCAAAGTTATCATATTAGTGACTCTCCTTAAGGCACAGAAGTAGCTATTTAGAGAGTCAGAAGAAGACCCAGCTCTGTACATGTCCCTCAAATTCCACTATCTGCCACTACCTTTTAATGTCACTTACTAGTGTTCATTAGCGCCTAAACCAGTAATAGCTTTTAAACCAATTCAACTTAGTTTACCAAATATTTAATACTGTCACAAAGCCTACCTCTTAGATGCAGTTTTATGGGGAAAACCCAACATGTGAGTGTTATCATGAGCGCTATATGTTATGTGGAAGTAGATCAAGGGACAGACAGATAGATGCTCCTGCAAGTATTGCTAAGGAGAATGAACCAAAGCACAGAGACCAGGCTGCCCGTAATCTCAGCAGCTTTGGAAGTGAGGCAGGAGGA